TCTAGAATAACCAGACTGTGAATGTGTGATTGGGTGAATGACTGGTTAGTTGTAAAGTGACTTGGGGGGTTGTAGAACCCTAGAAGGTGTTTTATGAAGACAGGCTATTTACCATTTAACTGTAGAAATAGCAAAAAGATGTTGCTGTATCCATGCCCTGTTGTAGCCTCACAGTGTGTGGTGGGCTGCCCCGTTGACTAACATTTGTAGTGATGAATATGTCACGTTGTTCGTTGCTCTGATTGGTTCCAGCATTGTCCAATGGCGTGCGGAGACCGTTAGAAAGACGACCGTAGATTCTGCCCCACATGGGTCCTGTCTGTGAGTCAGGGTCAGATGGTCTGCCAGGGCTAATTGGGGGAAAAAATACCAAGAAGAAAATAAAACCAGGAGACGTTTGAATGGAAAGTTGAACATGATTTAACTCTATTATTATAGGGCTGCAACTAACGATTATTTTCATAATCAATTAATCTGTCGATTATTTTTTCGATTAATCGATTAATCGGTTTGTTATTGTTTAGCTATTTAGCCTATACAAGTGATGAATACATTTCAGTTCAGAAAAAGAAAAACATAAGAGAATTGTGCAGTTGACTGCAATCTATTTTATTGCACACGAACACAGTCAGCGGTGTAAAATCAGCTAAACAGTGCAAAATATCAGTCCAGAATAATTTTTTGGCATCAAAATATAAGAGGTAAATTCCATAAAAAATAATGTAGAATCTAGAATAGAGTTTGTTAGTGGTATGCATTGCTGGGGGTGAGTGTCTTGTTCCCCATGTAGTTGTCCATCGTTGTTTGTTTTTTTCTGCTTAAGAAACACAAATAGACTGAAATAAGTACACATATAAAATAAAGCAGCACACACACTACAACACTAAGTCAATATTACATTATTTGAATTAATTAACAATATACAGTGATCATTTATTTAGACAAAAATGTGTTGTGAGGCGTTTTACAGCGTTAGACAGTAAAACAGCCTTTTAATAGTAAAAAAAATGACTTTCTGAATTTCTCCTGTATTTGAAAATTGAAAGCGTACAACTATGCCACGTTATATTCACCTGGACACAGCTCGTCTGTATATTTTTCTCTGCGGAGTTGTCCTTTTTTGAATGAGGAACATAGTTAAGGGTTTGTGCCGTTTTTCTCTTAACGAGAAAATTCTTATAAACAGACGTGCTAAATTTGGCAAGCGCATGATACACAACACAGAAGAGATTCACGATTGCATCTAGTCAATCAGAAGTAGAACACCGTAGACTGACGCGGCAAAAAAACATGTTTAACATTCACTATAACGAACTCAGCTCCCAAATTTGATCTGCATTAGCTTGTTTATTTTCTGTTACTTACCGGATTTACCGGACTTTCCTCTGCTGCATCAGCCCCCACATGTTTTCGTCTCAAATGTTCACTTAGGGACGTCGTGCTTCCGTGCCATGCTAGATGGTTTTTGCATATTTTGCAGGTCACCCGTCTTTTCATGGCATCTAGAGTGAAGTGCTCCCATACTCGTGAGGTTTTTGTCCGGGGTTTCTCTTCAGTTTTGTCGCTTCTATTTTTCTTCCGTATTTCTTTTTGTTCCGCCATCTCTCACAGCAAGATGCGTGTCAGTAACGTGTTACGTCGTGAAAACCGAGGGCACTTATTGGCTCGTTTCTTCTTCTATGGCTCCACTGGTAGATCAGTGGCTCATTACGGCCACACACTGGCGGCAAATTTAACAGATTGTTACCGATGTCAGAATGTGGTAAAAAATAGACTTTATGCGGTAAAATATGATTATTAAACAAGTAATCGATGACTAAAAAAGTTGTTAACTATTTTAATAATCGATTATAATCGATTAAATCGATTAGTTGTTTCAGCTCTAGTTTATATTATGACCCTCATAACCCAAATGAATCAAAAACCTTTCTTTCTTGATGTGGAACCAGGTGAATCATAACAAAACATCTAACTGAAGCCGTCGGCTACAAAACCAGTTCTAGGTTTCTCGTTTCATCAGTCAGGCACAGATGAGGAGGAAACAAATGAGCTGACGGATGTCCTGTTTCCAGGAGTTTATCCTCCTGACCTCTGCGTAAAACACACGGGGACCTCTACGGAATGAAGCTGGATCTAGTTTTATCTCATTGTCTTTGAGCATTGTCAGCCACGCCTCCCTTTCGTTTCCTCTGAACCGTCGCCCAGGATCTCTCTGCTGCTTAGTGAGAATTACCTTCCTGCTAACCTGACATGTTCTGTCCCTCAGGAAGTCGGATCTAGATCATCTGGGCGACTTGAGGGACAGGACAGGGTCTGTCTGGGATTCACTGGGTCAGATTTCAAATACAGGAGATTTTGTGGTCTTATGAAAACAATAAACCTGTTATGTATTTATGTATCTACTATAAGGTCTCTCCTTTCAACATCCCTGGCCTTTATTCAATGTGTCCTGTAATCTGAAGCTTTTAGTAATCTGAGGAAATCCTCACGCGTTTCAGTTTTCAGCCAGACGAGGAGCTTTGCTCGTAGTGACTCGACACGATGTTCAGTGGTGATTCACCCTAAATGGGTTTATCCTAAAACAGCTGGCAGATGGAGGGCACACTGATCAGGCCAATATCGGCTCAGTGGCACCAACATGGCCGTCGTGTGGAAAACTCAGTGGATTAGATTTATAATCCCCCCGCTGTATTTCTGGGTATTCTTGAAGCAGACTAATTTAGAGATGTGTTGTTAAACTTCCGATGTTGGAATTATGAAACTACTGGAAAGAACGTGGAAACAAAATCAGGACAAGTTAAACAATCTGGTATTTTCTAAATAGTAAATGCAGCAGCTTAATCACTGAAATACAGAATAGAAGAAGAAGAAAATACCATTTCTATAGCGCCTCTCAAGATAAAAATCACGAGGCGCTTCACAACAACCAAAAAATGTAAAAATATAAAAAAGCATTTAGAAAATGTTTAAAAATATATTTAAAATGAGCAAGAATAAGCAATTGGGATTTAAAAGAAAAAATATTAAGAAAGAGAGAGAGTGAACAGGAAAGAGGGAAATCAGTGGATCCTGAGGAAGGTGGAATAGGTGGGGAGAGCAGAATAAAGAGAGAGAGGTGAAGAAGGTCATACAAAAGCCAGCTTGAACAAGTGAGTCTTCAGCTGCTTTTTAAAGGAGACCACTGAGTCCACTGATCTCAGGCTCAGGGGGAGAGAGGTCCAGAGTCTGGGGGCCACAGCAGCAGATGATCTGTCACCTTTGACCTTTAGCCTGGTGCTGTACAACCAGTAGGCTTTGATCACTGGACCTCAGGGACCTGCTGGGGGTGTAGGGACTGAGAAGATCACCAATGTAAGATGGTGCTTGTCCATGTAAGGCCCTATAGACCAGAACCCTGAAGTTGACTGGAAGCCAGTGAAGCTGGAGGAGAAGCGGGGTGATGTGGGTGTGTTTGGCGGACTTGGTCAGAAGCCGAGCACAGGCCTTCTGAGCCACCTGTAGACGGTTCTGCTCAGACACATGAAAAGAGAGTTACAGTAGTCTAAGTATTGTTTTACAGTACAATAGTACTGTTTTATCTTCTCTTGGGGGACATGGGAGTCAAAAATTAAAATTGCTTATCATCCAGCAGACTTTCTAGATTGGGATTAGGGTTGGAGTCACGAAAAAATCTTCCATGTCTTCTCAGCGAATCTGTGAGGTTCATCATGTATTTGTGTTCACTTCATTTTTGTCTGACTGGCACATGACCTTCAGTTGTTTGTTATAAATACAACTTTTAGAGAAAATGTAGTACATTTTTTCCTGAAATCACTAATTATACAGAATTTTATAAGATTTTTTTTAAATTGCAACATTTGTGTACACTTGCTAATTTTCTCACCACAGGTTAGTTACTGAGCTTCTTAATTATGTTTCTATATATTTAAAGTTTATCTTAATTTATTTGCAAAGAGGTCTCCAACTCCTCCCAAAGCTCTTGGAAATTAAACTAAGAAGGGTTTAAGATGAATTCCAGATGTTTGCAGCAACTCTGGGAAAGTTTTAAAAGCAGTCATAGACTTTTCTTGTGTGGGCGACGGTGGCGCAGGAGTTAAGTGCTCGCCCCGTAATCGGAAGGTTGCAGGTTCGAGCCCCGCTCAGCCTCGCCTCTGTCAGTGCACCCCAGGGCAGCTGTGGCTACATTGTAGCGCATCACCACCAGTGTGTGAATGTGTGTGTGAATGGGCGAATGACTGATTGTGTTGTAAAGCGCCTTGGGGGGTTCCAGGACTCTAGAAGGTGCTATATCAAATACAGGCCTTTTACCATTTTCCCATTGGTTCAAAATTCCAGCGGCACGACAACGAACCTCTTTGAATCACGTGTGCAAATCGAGAACCTCCCGGGACTATTTTGAGACATTGTGGAAACTCCCGTGTGACTACCTTTCAGGTTCAGATAGAACTGTATTCATCCCTCTGTAAGGATCCTCTGGGAACGTTTGTTTCCATCGGTGTCAAATCGACAGAAAAAAGAGAAAAAAAGTTTTTTATGAAACATATGTCCTCAATAAAATAGACAAAAATAAACATAAACACTGAGAACAACATGAAAACGTGGATTACATGTGCAGTTTTTCCACCAGATCTTCATTCATTTGGACAGTCAATAATGTTGATTGTCCGTTTTTGTTATTCCCGCTGTTTTGTTATTCCTCCTGTCCCCGTCCCCCCCCCCCCCATGTGGGACAAATGAATGCTGCATTCATCATTTACTCACCGCAGCTCCAGCCCAGTGATCAACTGGTTTTAGAGGGTCTAATCCTCCAGAAGGTGACTCTTACCTTTCTTGTTTTTCCAAACAGAACAATTCCCTCTGTGTCCGATCATAGACATGGACATGGACATGGACATGGACGCGTTTAAGAGTCGCTTTACTCCTTGTTAACAGGTTTTCATAGAAGTCTCTGCTCACCATAAAACCTTCAGATGTAATGAAATGTTTTCTGTCCTTCACAGAGATTATGAATGATGTCATCAAGAAGGTGAAGAAGAAGGGAGAATGGAAGGTGCGTCCAAAGCGATGGCACAGATTTTATTTCATTTATGTGAGACTCACCGTGTCCCCCCCGTGTCCCCAGGCCCTGATAGTGGACCAGCTGAGTATGAGGATGTTGTCCTCCTGCTGCAAGATGACAGACATCATGACAGAGGGCATCACCAGTAAGAGAAGAGCATTTCTCTGCCTGTTTGGCTGTTGTTGCATGTGTAACGATGAGTCTCTGCCACCTGTCCAGTTGTGGAGGACATCATGAAGCGGCGAGAGCCCCTCCCCAGCCTGGAGGCCATTTACCTTATCACACCTACAGAGAAGGTGAGCGTGTCCCAGGGAGGGAGCTCTTGTGTTTATAGTAGCTGAGTGCAGACTTAGATCAGATGTCTTCTGTCCTCAGTCTGTCCACACGCTCATCGCTGACTTCAAAGACCCCCATTCAGCCAAATACAAGGCAGCCCACGTTTTCTTCACTGACTGTGAGTACCAGCCAGTACCTGTGGTGCGAACATCCAGAGAGGAGATGAAATAACCGTGTCTGGTTTCCTCAGCCTGCCCTGATCCTCTCTTCAACGAGCTGGTCAAGAGCCGGGCTTCCAAAGTCACCAAGACTCTGACGGAGATCAACATCGCCTTCTTGCCCTACGAGTCTCAGGTGAGCAAGTTTAGCCATTTAGTCCCGCTTCATTTGTCTCAGTACTTTCATTTCTGCTGTTTGCTTTTATCCTACATGTACTAGTGTATTATGGGATGTACACATTAATAATTATACCTGATTAGTGAGATCAGATTTTATACGTTTAATAACCCGCACTGAGTGGATGCTATTAACCCTCTAAATAGAAAAATCCCAGAATGCACTGGGAGAAGATAACACCTGTGTGTGTGTGTGTGTGTGTGTGTGTGTGTGTGTGTGTGTGTGTGTGTGTGTGTGTGTGTGTGTGTATGTGTGTATGTGTGTGTGTATGTGTGTATGTGTGTGTGTGTGTGTGTGTGTATGTGTGTGTGTATGTGTGTGTGTGTGTGTGTGTGTGTGTGTGTGTGTGTGTGTGTGTGTGTGTGTGTGTGTGTGTGTGTGTGTGTGTGTGTGTGTGTGTGTGGCCCGGAGGACAGAGGACAGGAGAACATGCAGCTAATTAATTAAATAATGTGGTTCTGTAGCTTTCTCTTCAGCACAGCCGACAAAGGTTTATGATGGGTCAGTCCTCCTGCATGCTCAGATCATTCCCTTCCCTTGCTTGAAAATTTGTTCCAAAATGAAAGTTGAACCCACATCTTTTTTATCTGTGAATTCAATGCCGTTCGGCGAGTCTCAAATAAAAATTTGGGCATCTTACTGTAAAAAATATACCATTAATGTAAAAAAGAAACTCTGAATAAACTATGTTCACATCCAGAATCAAACCCAGGTCTTCTGCATGAGAGTCAGACATCTTACTAGGTGAGCTAAAGCACCAGTGACATCTTTTGTATCTGTAACATTTATATCCTTGATGACACCTGAAACAACTTCAAACCAAAGAACGGTTGGGAGTGAAAATGGCTATTTTGTTGCTAATTTGCAGGAAATATCTAGAAGAAAGTTCTACAGAAAGTAGCTAAGGGTCCTCAGAAATGTAGCTAGCTTTGTCACTAGGCGTTAGGAACAGCGACAAAGTGGCACTGCCTCTCTCTCTGCTGCTAAAGCTACGGATAGGAAATGCTACGGGCGATGCCTGAGCGTGAACGCGCATGAAGCAGCCTGCTCGACCCGAGCATCTCTCTTTTTCTGTGATTTTACACAAAAACAGGCAATCACAGTAAAAATGCCAGGGCTCATTCTACAGGACCAGGGCATTGCAGGAGAACGTATGAAGAAGACATTTATTATTTCTATACATGTTTTGGCTGTCACACTTCCATAATGCCCCTTTAAGCTGTGAGCAGCAGCTTCAGATGGATAGGAGCCGTGAGAGGGGGAGTGATGCTGGTTCTATTCCTAAGAGATGGAAACAGAATGAGAAGCTCATGGACGCTGCTGACTCATCATCACTATTTACTGCCAGACTCTCCCTCTCCACATCTTTCCCTGCCCGAGTCGATGGCCTAGCTTTCCTCTCCCTCCCTTTATGCTCTTCATCTCGCCATTCCTCCATCCAGCCTCTGCACGTCTCCGTCTCTCTCTCTCTTCTGCTCAAAGCTTTTTATTTGGTCCTTTTATTTTTTCTCCAGCCTCGTTTCTCATCCTGTCCATCCTTCTACCCTGTCAGTGTCTGGAAATCCTGCACGGCCCACAATGCTTTGCTGTCCTCATGTCAGCTACGATTAATTCAGCGTCGTCGGTTTTTCGCTCCAGGCTAATTGCTGCGTGGTTGCCCCGCCCCCTGGAGTGGATAGTTTGTACCTTACTGGACGAGCTGTGATCCACGCAGCCAATCACCATCCAGGCCATCATGGGGACCCATCTGCGGTGTGGTCATGTGACTTGGGACAGATGGGGAGGGAGGAGGTGTGCTACTCTAATGCAGAAGAGGAGAGGAAACAAGTGAGGCAGGAGGGTAGATGAGGGCAGAGAATGAACGCAAGAGGAGAAATGATTTTGACATGTTAGTAGAAGTAACCTGCTCATACACGGCCTTCTGTCGGGATATGATAATACCCCATAGATGTGTCAGGATGTATCCAAACAACAAACCACGGGTCACAAAAGCAGTGAGATTGTGTATAAAGGAGAAAAATGAGGCGTCAGTGGCTGAGTTACAGAGGGCTAACATACTGTTAAAAAGAGAAATCACAAAGGCTAAACATGAATATAGAAGACAGTTGGAGGACAAAATGGCAGCAAATAAACTTGGTTCAGCATGGACTAGCATGAAAATCATCTCAGGACATGGCTCTGAGGCACCTTACACAACCATCTGTCTAGACCCTTTTAACACCGACAGGGAACTAGCTAATGCCCTGAACAGCTTTTACTGTCGGTCTGACGTTCTGGATTCCAGCGGGAACGGGAGATCCTGAGGGAGAAATGTAAGGATAGTGAGCATTTTACAGTTGACATGGAGGACATAGGTAGGGCTATCAGGACAGTTAGAGTAAACAAGAGCCGAGGACCAGATGACATTTGTGGCCGCTTATTAAATCCTGTGCATACCAGCTGACACCGACACTGCACCACATTTTCAGTGAATCCTTACGGTTACAAAAGGTCCCTAAACTATGGAAGGATGCAGAAATTGTACCGATTCCTGAGGTGAGACATCCAGGTTGTTTAAACGATTTCCGCCCTGTTGCTCTAACTTCCATTTTAATGAAAATCTTTGAAAAGCTGGTTAGATGCGAGCTTTTAAAGCAGACTCAGCGACTGCTGGATCCTCTACAGTTTGCACATCAGGCTGGGAGGGGGGTGGAGGAGTCAACGGTCACTCTGTTAGATATGCTTTTTCATCATCTGGACCTGGTAGGAACTCATGCTCGACTCCTCTTTGTGGACTTCTCGTCCGCTTTCAATACAATCCAGCCTCATGTTCTGGTTAATAGGCTAGAGGAAGAGTTTCACCGGAGTAGAAGCATGCTCGGGTGGATACTAGACTTTATGAGCAACAGAACACAGAAGGTCAGAGTGAACAGCACCCTGTCGGATAAGAGAACTGTGTCTACCGGATCTCCCCAGGGCTGTGTTTTGCCCCCCCCGCTGTATATTTTCTACACCAACATGTGCCGAAGCAAACATGAGAGAAGGACAGTTATTAACTGTGCTGATGATTCGGTAGTGGTGCGTCTCCTGAGAGAAGGGGAACACAGCCATGGACCTGTTCTTGAGGATTTCATCTCTTGGTGTGATGAATCATATCTACAACTTCATGTCATTAAAACAAAAGACATGATCATGGACTTTAGAAGGAAGCCTCAACAACAGCGTGATCTTTCCATAATTAAAGGTCAAACTATTGTGCAGGTGATGTCATATAAATATTTGGGGACAATTAAGGACAGGGAGCTGGATTTAGAGGAAAATGGTGATGCTGTGGGCGAGAACGGCCAGCAGCGTTTGTACCGCCTTAGAAAACTGGCCTGACTGCATGTGGACAGGACTATAATGTCCACGTTTTATTGTTCTTTTACTGAAAGTGTTTCATCTTTTCCTTAGCCTCGTGGTCTGGTCAGGCCACTCGTAAACAAAAGGAAACGCTGAACAGGATAGTAAAGCTGCTTGGAAAACCAGGAAAAGTGTGGCACAGCTGTTCAGTGGACAGGTAGAGAGGGTTGCTAAAGCGGTTGTTAGGGACACGGCCCCCCCACTGCATGCCCAGTTTACGCTCCTGCCATCTGGACGGAGACTTATTGTGCCAAGGTGCAGGACCAGGAGGTACAAAACAAGCTTTATTCCCGAGGTGGTAACGTTACTCAATAAGAACCGAGTCTGGCGTGGCCATTTTATTTTATTTACTTCTTGTTTATTCTTCTTTGATGTGTGTGCTTTGTGGCTGTGTGTGTCTGTGTGTATCTGTGTGTGTCTGTGTGTATTTGTGTGTATCTGTGTGTAATCTGTGTGTATCTGTGTGTATCTGTGTGTGTCTGTGTGTATCTGTGTGTATCTGTGTGTATCCTGGGCGCTAATTCTCGTGTCACATAGCTAATCAAATTTACCTGTGGGTATTAATAAAGCTACTTTGAACCTTGAAAAAGGAATTAGAAGAGGAAAAGGTAACACTTTACAATAAGGGTCCATTTATTAGCGTTACTTAGTGCATTATTAAGCATTAATAAACTATTAAATGCAGTATTAACAACTGCTTAGCTGTATTATGTCATGCATTACTAAACAGACTCCCCTATAACATTAAGGACCCTTTGTTTGTTAATGCTTAATTATGCACTAATTAAGGTTAATAAATTGACCCTTACTGTAAAGTATTACCAAGGAAAAATATAGATGGGATGAAATTTGAAAACAGGGACATTTTTGGGAGAGAAAAGTTTTGTCAGACCCCAAATTTAAGTAATTAAAGCACCTGGTGGAACAAAAAGCCTAAATTCAAGCCACAAGCATGAGTTTCGTAACGACTGTTAAACGTGTGTGCAGGTGTACTCTCTGGACAGCCCAGATGCCTTCCACAGTTTCTACAGCCCCCACAAGACCCAGCTGAAGAACCCGGTGATGGAGAGGCTGGCCGAGCAGCTGGCGACGCTCTGCGCCACCCTGAAGGAATATCCTGCTGTCCGATACCGAGGGTGAGCTGCAGGGGGCGCTGCTGGGTCCCAAAGAAAATAGTTACCCTGCTGGGCTGAGACCGGTGTCGGTACAGGATCGGCTCGGGGTCCTTCAACTGCCGATGACGTCAAAGTAGTTGATTGGCTGAACATGAAGCTTACGGAAGTGACGTCATCACGTTATGATTCTGATTGGTCAGAACAAACTTGCGGTCGTAGTCTTAGCGGTTGTAGTCCTGTAGTCCAAAAATCAACACTTACTGGAGAAAATATGTTTGAATTTCTAAAGGAAATGTAAAATATAAGCAAATGATAAACGGTGACCCTCAGAAGCTCTTGATGGTGATGAAACGGGGAAAAATAAAATATAAGAACTTTATTGAAAGACGCCAAGATAACAACTAAGGAAATATACAGACGAACTCCACATGAATACAAACAGACGTGGCTTCACGTATAAGAACTGTTCTATGTTTGTCAGGCCGATGTTGGTTTTATGCAGTTTCACATTCTTTACTAAACAAAGATAATATGGTGTTTTATTAACAAATTACAATTATAAAGAAAACATTTAGGTGTTAACAAACAAGAATTTAACAAAACTACTGATGTCTTTCCTAAACGTGTGCGTGAAAGCCGAGTAGAGTTGCAGTCATGTGACGTCATCGGCAGTCGAAGGACCCCGAGCCGATCCTGCCCCCGAGCAGATCCTGCACCGACACCGGCATTCAAAAGAAAATGTTGTAAACGTCCTAAAAACTGCTCAACTTTTTAGACAGGTTCATCCACGAGTGTTTAAATCAGATTTTCTTATGGCTTTACCTTTCCTCCTTTCTATCTGTTTACCATCCATCCATCCATCCAACAATCTATCCGTCCGTCCATCCATCCATCTATCCATCCATCCATCCATCCATCCATCCATCCATCCATCCATCCATCCATCCATCCGTAGGGAGTACAAGGACAACGCCACTTTGGCGCAGCTGGTTCAGGACAAACTGGACGCCTACAAGGCTGACGACCCCACCATGGGAGAGGTGAGCAGCCATTTGTTCGGATCCTGATTCAGGTCTAAACCAGAATATGTGTCTGGTGTTCTCACTGCTTTGTTGACATCTGCTCCTGATGCTGCAGGGTCCCGATAAGGCTCGCTCACAGCTGATCATCCTGGACAGAGGCTTTGACCCCATGTCTCCCGTCCTGCACGAGCTCACTTTCCAGGCCATGGGCTACGACCTGCTGCCCATCGAAAATGACGTCTACAAGTGGGAATGACACAAAACACGATCGTTTGAGTCCAGTAAACCAGTATCAAACTGTAACGAGAGCTCCCTTTAATGCCGGCTAGAACACTAATCCAACCTTTAAAAGCATCACTAGTGATTTGTTGGTCCCTGTCGCTGTGGGAGATGTTTTCCCAAAGACGTTCTAGGGGGAAGATCATGGTTTGAGTTGTGAATTAGTTCCTACAAAATCCGTGACAACAGCTTAGGAGCTTGCCATGCCACATTTTTCTGTTTGAATTGAGAAAGCTTCTTTTTAAAGCCTTTTTGTTAACGAGGATTCTGATTCCTCCTCAGATATGAAACCAGCGGAATTGGAGACTCTCGTGTGAAGGAGGTTCTTCTGCACGAGGACGATGACCTGTGGGTGAGCCTGAGACACAAACACATAGCTGAAGTGTCCCAGTGAGTACTTTTCTTCTTCATGTTTCCAGTTAAAGAATAAAACATCCCTCCTACCTCTCGTTAGTGCTGCTCGTGGTTTGATTTTTCTTCAGGGAAGTAACACGTCAGCTGAAGGACTTTTCCTCCAGCAAGAGGATGAACACTGGAGAGAAGGTACAGTCGGATCGGCTGATTCCTGCAGCATAAAGCTACGATTTGGTTCATTTTCATTTTATTGGAGCTTGTTGAATGAACTCGTGTTTATGTTCTATAAAGTTTTTTGTTCTTTATTTGTGGTTTACTATAACATTTATTTTTAATTCCACAAATGTTGCTTTAATATTTTAAACCAAAAGCTTTTTGACTCGATAAAAAAAACCTCAGATTTGAAATCCGTACATCTTTGATTTGAATGTCCTTCAGATGTATCGTTTGCTGTTTATCCTGAAAAGATGCTGTTTTATGTCCAGAAAGCTTCGATAAAATTAGAACCAAATCCAACCAATTATTTAATTGTTTCATTTGTTGTTGTGTAATAAATTGTTTATGTTTCATCAGACTACCATGAGGGATTTGTCCCAGATGCTGAAAAAGATGCCCCAGTACCAGAAGGAGCTTAGCAAGGTGTGTGTGTGTGAACGTGCGTGTATGTGCATGTTTTGTATGTGCCTGCATGTGTGTGTGTGTGCATGCGTGTGCCTGCATCGGTGCGTGTGTATGCATTTATGTGTGTGCACGTGCGTGTATAAATGTGCATGTTTGTGTGGGTTTTTTGTATGTGCCTGCATGTGTGCATGCGTGAGCCTGTGTATGTGTGTGTGCGTGTGTATGTACATGCGTGAGCATGTATGTTTTGTATGTATGTGTGTGTGTGTGTGTGTGTACATGCATGAGTGTGCATGTGTGCATGTGCATGTTTGAGCGTGTGCATGTGTGTACACGTGTGTATGTGCATGCATGAGCGTGTATGAGTATGTGCATGCATGAGCGTGTATGTTTGGTGTGTGTGTGTGTGCATGTGTATGTGTGACAGTGTGTCTTTTGTATGTGTGCGTGTGTATGCTCGTGTGTGTAAATGCGTGTGTGTATGTGCATGCGCGAACGTGTATGTGTGTGTGTGTATATGCGTGAGCATGTATGTGTGCGTGTGTATGCTCGTGTGTGTAAATGCGTGTGTGTATGTGCATGCGCGAACGTGTATGTGTGTGTGTGTATATGCGTGAGCATGTATGTGTGCGTGTGTATGCTTGTCTGTGTGCAAGCGTGTGCATTTGCATGTGTGAGCGTGTAGGTGTGCATGTGTATGCTTGTATGTGTGCATGCGTGAGTGTGTGTGTGTGTGTGTGTGTGCGTCGGTATGTGCATGCGTGAGTGTGTATGTGTGTGTGTGTGTATGTGCATGCATGAGCATGTATGTGTGCGTGTGTATGCTCGTGTGTGCATGTGTGTGTGCATGTGCATTCATGAGTGTGTGTGTGTATACATGTGTGTGTGTGTGTTTGTGCGCGCATGTGCATGCGTGAGCGTGTATGTGTGCGTGCGTATGTTCGTGTGTGCATGTGTGTGTGCATGTGCATACGTGAGTGTGTGTGTGTATACATGTGTGTGTGTGTGTGCATGCATGAGTGTGTATGTGTGCGTGTGTATACTCGTGTGTGTGCATGTGTGTGTGTATGTGCATGCGTGAGTGTGTGTGTGCATATGTGTGTGTGTGTATGTGCATGCGTGAGTGTGTGTGTGCATGCGTGAGTGTATGTGTGTGTGTGTATACTCGTGTGTGTGCATGTGTGTATGTGTGTATGTGCATGCGTGAGTGTGTATGTGTGCGTGTGTATACTCGTGTGTGTGCATGTGTGTGTGTGTATGTGCATGCGTGTGTGTGCATGTGTGAGCGTGTATGTGTGCGTGTGTATACTCGTGTGTGTGTGTGTGTGTGTGTGTATGTGCATGTGTGTGTGTATGTGCATGCGTGAGTGTGTATGTGTGCGTGTGGACGAGTAAGCCCACTGACTTTTATTGTGTCTACTTGTTTTAGTACTCGACTCACCTGCAGCTTGCTGAGGACTGCATGAAGCATTACCAGGGAACGGTGGACAAGCTGTGTCGTGTGGAGCAGGTGAGAGGAGACAACAGGAGGAGAAAAAGCTCCACAGCTGCCTGTGAAAATTTCCACGAACCGCCTAGAGACCAAATGTAAAGTCAACTGTTAATAAAGACTGAGGTGTCTACTCCAGGACTTGGCGATGGGAACAGATGCTGAAGGAGAGAAGATCAAAGACCCCATGAGGGCCATCGTGCCCATCCTGCTCGACGCCAACGTCAGCACGTACGACAAGATCCGCATCATCCTGCTCTACATCTTCCTCAAGAACGGTGAGCAGACAACATGCTGCTGATTGTTTTCTTGTTGAACCTTTCCTGATGCCTGTGTTGTTTATCTAAACGAAGAGGGACATTTAATGACCAGGGGTCTCATTTATCAAGCTAGCTTACGCAAAAACGGGGTCGGAAAACTGCGTAAGCAACTTTCCACGCAAACTTTGGGATTTATGAAAGAAAACTTAGCGGAAAAATGTGGCAACTTTAAGCTGACTAAGGACCTGGCTTACACACATGTTGGACATGAGAGCACCTGCAGTGCTGCTGCTGAGAAGATACAATTATGAAATCCTGCAGCATTATCACTTGTACCGCTTCGTTTTCACACAGAACAAGACCCCCCACACGCACGCGCACACATACACATGCACACACACACACACACACACACACACACACACACACAAATGCGTGCATGCACACACACACACACACAGCCTGAAGACAGAATACGGAATGCAGAATACCAGCAGGGGGACAGATTGAGACAGAACATCATGCGTCTGTGACAGTGTGTGTCCTGTCACTGTGACCCGATTGATCATGCACCCTGGCTACCTGTACAAGGGAGATCTCCGTTTGGCTGACTGGTTAGTGCGCGTGACTTTCACCCTGGGAATCTGGGGATTGAATCCTGATTGGACCGTTTTTATATCCGCCACAGATCTCTCTGAAGAACTCACAACATTGACGGCTTCAGCAACGCTGTGCCACTCCGTGGATTTTCTCTTATTTGTTTTGCAAAAGCACTTCCTTTCATTTCTCCACCTCACCCACAGGTACCTCAACTTCTGTTTGTGAAATAGGGCTTCCTTGATCTGCCTTGGTCTACGGTCGCCATGTCATTGGCAGAGCGCTGCAACAGTCGGCTTATGTACATGCATGAGGTCCACAAGGCACTTTGCATTGACCATTTATGGGAGTAAGTGGGCGTGGTGAGGGCGGGATGTGACTAAAATGCAGCTGAGAACCTTTCTAGTTAGTCTCTGATTTATGAAGCGGAGATTGCGCGCAGCTGTGTGTCCTCCATGTTTGATAGATCACACACCTGCTTGGCGTAAGTACTTTTGTTTAGCTGAGCTTAAGTACGGTTTTAGTAAGGATTCTACGCCATGTTTGATAAATGAGACCCCTGCTGACTAAAACCAGGTGTGTGGAAACAGAGAAAACAGTAAAACATGCTGGATAACGGTCCTCAGTGAATGGAGCTGGGATCACTGCGCTGTAAAAATAAAAGACATTCACCATTATGCCTGAAAAAACTCCAACAGAACCCATAACACTCAAACATTTAGAGCCCTTGTTCAGAGTGTTTTAGCTGTTTCCCTGCTCAAACTCGCCTGATTATAATCAGCAGGTGATTAACAGGTTTCTGCGGAGCGTGATGAGCTGCTGAACAGGAGAGTATAAGATAACTGTGTGTGTGTATATGTGTGTGTGTGTGTGTTCCAGGCATCACAGAGGAGAACTTGAACAAACTGATCCAACATGCTCAGATTCCTCCAGAGGACAGCGAGATCATCACCAACATGGCTAACCTGGGCGTCCCCATCATCACTGACGTAAGTTCAAAGCATTGTTTACACAACTGCAGCAAACTCAGGACGAGAAGCGGTGCATGAAAAACATAAACGTAAATAATACAAAAGCAAAGCTGGGAAGGTGGAGCATTAGAAAGAGCTGTTAGTAAATCCTCTTCACTCAATGGATTTCAATGAGATTCTCAGAAAGTAATCATCAGATGTTCGTCTGCAACTGGTTACGTGGAATCAACCCAATTCAAGATGGCTGCCACAGCTAGACAGCCTCACAGCATTAGCTGTAACTCAAGTCAGTTTAGCAGGCGTGGAGCTAAATGTTGAGGTCAATCACACTCAGAGTGATAAAGGAGGATGTTTCAGGAGAAAGCACGTCACGATAATCTGAAGTCTCGACCAAAACCACGATAGCACCTAAAGATGAGATGATCCATCCCTCCATCCACCCACTTTCGGCCACTTATCCGGGGTCGGGCCGTGGGGGCAGCAGCCTAAGCAGGGAGACCCAGACTTCCCTCTCCCCAGCCACCTGGACCAGCTCCTCCGGGGGAATCCCAAGGCGTTCCCTGACCAGCTGAAAAATGTAGTTCCTCCAACATGTCCTGGGTCTACCTTTAGGTCTCCTCCCGGTTGGACGTGCCCAGAAAACCTCACCAGGGAGGCGTCTAGGAGGCATGCTGACCAGATGCCCGAGCCACCTCAACTGGCTCCTCTCAATGTGGAGGAGCAGCGAATCTACTACGAACCCCTCCCGGATGACCGAACTTCTCACCCTATCTCTAAGGGACAGCCCAGCCACTCTTCGGAGAAAACTCATTTCGGCCGCTTGTATCCGCAATCTCGTTCTTTCGGTCACTACCCAAAGCTCATGACCACACAGTTGTGGTCAGAAGTTTACATACACTTGTAAAAAATGTAATATAATGGCTCTACTGAGTGTCCCGTTATTTCTAAAACTCTGATTTTTCTCTGATAGAGTGATTGGAACAGATACTTCTTTGTCACAAAAACATTCATGAAGTTTGGTTCTTTAATGTCTTTATTATGGGTTAACAGAGAAAAGTGATCACATTTGCTGGGTCACAAATATACATACAGCAGTGCTAATATTTGGTTACATGTCCCTTAACCATTTTCACTTCAATTAGGCGCTTTTGGTAGCCATCCACAAGCTTCTGGCAAGCTTCTGGTTGACTCTTTGACCACTCCTCTTGACAGAATTGGTGAAGTTCAGTTAAATTTGATGGCTTTCTGACATGGACTTGTTTCTTCAGCACTGTCCACATGTTTTCAATGGGGTTTAAGTCAGGACTTTGGGAAGGCCATTCTAAAACCCTTATTCTAGCCTGATTTAGCCATTCCTTTACCACTTTTGATGTGTGTTTGGGGTCATTGTCCTGTTGGAACACCCAACTGCGCCCAAGACCCAACCTTCGTGCTGATGATTTTAGGTTATGTTGAAGAATGTGAAGGTGATCCTCCTTCTTCATTATCCCATTTACTCTGTAAAGCACCAGTTCCATTGGCAGCAAAACAGCCCCACAGCATAATATTCCCACCACCATGCTTGACTGTAGGCATGGTGTTCTTGGGGTTAAAGGCCTCACCTTTTCTCCTCCAAACATATTGCTGGGCATTGTGGCCAAAAAGCTCGATTTTCGTTTTGTCTGACCACAGAACTTTCCTCCAGAAGGTCTTATCTTTGTCCATGTGATCAGCAGCAAACTTCAGTCGAGCCTTAAGGTGCCGCTTTTGGAGCAAGGGCTTCCTTCTTGCACGGCAGCCTCTCAGTCCATGGAGATGCAAAACACGTTTGACTGTGGACAATGACACCTGTGTTCCAGCAGCTTCTAATTCTTGGCAGATCTGCTTTTTGGTGATTCTTGGTTCACTCTTTACCCTCCTGACCAATTTTCTCTCAGCAGCAGGTGATAGCTTGCGTTTTCTTCCTGATCTTGGCAGTGATGAAACAGTGCCATGCACCTTATACTTGCAAACAATTGTTTGCACTGTTGCTCTTGGGACCTGCAGCTGCTTTGAAATGGCCCCAAGTGACTTTCCTGACTTGTTCAAGTCAATAATTCGCTTTTTCAGATCAATGCTGAGCTCCTTTGACTTTCCCATTGTAGCATTTGTGGGCGTTTGTATCCAATGAGCCCTATTTACCTGGCCTAAGAGAAGTCACCAGCTGTAGTCACTCTTAATCACTCACAAGAAGTTAAGAGGCCATGCTATGAAGCTCAGTCCACTGATACGTTTCTAAGTCACCAAAATTGCTACATCATGTTGCTGTATGTATATTTGTGACCCAGCAAATGTGATCACTTTTCTCTGTTAACCCATAATAAAGACATTAAAGAACCAAACTTCATGAATGTTTTTTGTGACAAAGAAGTATCTGTTCCAATCACTCTATCAGAGAAAAGTCCGAGTTTTAGAAATAACGGGACACTCAGTAGAGCCATTATATTATATTTTTTACAAGTGTATGTAAACTTCTGGCCAGAACTGTAGGTGAGGGTAGGAACGTAGATCCACCAGTAAATTGAGAGCTTCGCCTCCTGACTCAGCTCTCTCTTCACCACGACAGACCGGTACAACGCCTGCATCACTGCAGATGCAGCACCAATCCGCCTATCGATCTCACGCTCCAGTTTTCCCTCACTCGTGAACAAGACCCCGAGATACTTAAACTCCTCCACAAGATGAAATATTTTAGCTTAAAACTCTTGGTAGATTAGAAATTGTTTGATGGGTATGAGCAATGTTCTAAAGTGACCCTAGAGGCAGCATGTACAGAGACAACAAAAGACAGCCAAGAGTGGAACCCTGAGGGACGCCATAATGTAGAGGTACTTCTTAGGTGTGTTCTTGCTGTGTCTTTGTAAATCCATGCTTTCGTTCTTTTTTAAACACAGAAACAGTTTTGTTTACCTGTTTGTAGCTACGGTTTCGCCGACAGCTGCCGGCTTCTTCAGGCTGACGCTGATGGTGGCGCGTCACTTCCTTCTCCGTTTATCTGCGGGCAGCAGAGGACGTTGTCGCCCTCTACTGCCCGCTCTCCCCTCTCCGACGATGCAGTCCCATGCGTGGTCCAGCGTGTAAACTCCGTCGTCCCTGTTCATGGTCCCACATCCACGTCTCCTTATCTCTATTGCTTCCTTGATCCATCTTTTGTATTTTTGTTGTTCAGTGGTTATGATCCGTGTGTTGTCCCAGTCCATTATATGGTTTTCTCTTAAGCAATGATCTGTTACGGCTGACTTTTTTATTGTACTTTCTGCTTCTTCTTTTGCTGCTCTTGTGTGTTTACGATTTGCCTCTTTCTCGCACTCCTTTCTGTGTTCTATTGTCCGTGTATTGAGTTGGCGTCCGGTTTCTCCTATGTATGTTTTATTGCATATTTTGCATGGGATTTCGTAGATGACTCCACATTTTTGTCCAGCTGATATTTTGTCTTTTGGGTGTACTAATCTGTTTCTAACTGTTGTGTATGGCTTTGTTGGTGTGTTTATGTTGTGTTTTTTCATTGTTGCTCTTATTTTTTCCGTTATGCCTCTGATGTATGGTAGGGTCATCACTGGTTTTGGTTCTTGTCTTTCTGGGTTTCTGGTTCTTTTTTTGGGTTGTTCTTTGCTTTCTGTTTTTGTTTGTTGTTTTCCTTTGTTTATTGCCCATGTCGGGTATCTGCAGGTCTTTAAAGCGTGTTGTATGTGTTTGTCCTCTTGTTTACGGTCTCTCTCTTCTGTTATTATGTTTGCTCGGTGATATAATGTTCTGATTACTGACATTTTGTGTATGGTGGGGTGTTCTGATGTCCATAATAAATATTGGTCTGTGTGTGTTGGTTTCCTGTATGTGTTTATGTTTAGGGTCCCGTCGGTCTGCCTGGTGATTTTCATGTCCATAAATGCTATGCTGCCTTCTGTTTCTAACTCATAAGTGAATTTTATGTTGCCCGTGTCGTCAATATTGTTTAAGTGTTGTGTTAGTGTTTCTGTTTGACCTTTTGGTATGATTTCCAGTATGTCGTCTACGTAGCGTTTCCATAGTTTTATTTTGCAGTTTGGGGGGGCGGTGGCTATGGCTTTTTGTTCCAGGTCTTCCATGAAAAACTCGCACAGGGTGGCTGATAACGGGTTACCCATGGCGAAGCCTTCCAGTTGTTTGTATATTGTGTTGTCGTATGTGAAGTAAGTGGAGTTAGCTACCAGTCCTATCAGTTGTGCTATGTCATCTGCTGTGAGGTTTGTCCTTTTTTGTAAAGTTTTGTCTTGTCTGATTCTGTTAACTACTATGTCTATGGTTTTTTGGGTTGGTGTTTTTGTGAACAGAGATGTGACGTCATGTGAGATGAGTGTGTCGTTGTCTTCTATTGTAATTTCCTTTAGTTCTTTTGCCAATTCTATACTATTTTTGCAGTGTTGGTCTGTATTTCCTAATAACGGGCTGATGATTCTGCTGATATCTTTTGCCATGTTGTATGTTGGTGTACCTATGCTGTCAACTATTGGTCTAAGTGGGGTGTTTTGTTTATGTATTTTTGGTGTTCCATATATTCTTGGTGTTATGTTTGCTGTGGGAATCCAGTGTTTGTACATTTTTTCTGTTATTTTGCCTTTTTCGTGCAGTGGCTTCAGTAATTTTTTCATGTTTTTCTTAATGTTTTCTGTTGGATCTTTTTTAAGTATTTCATATGTATTTTTGTCTTCTAGCATCTGTTTCATCTGTTGTTTATATTTTTCTCTGTCCATAACTACTGTGGTTCTTCCTTTATCTGCCGGTAGAATAATTATCTGTTCATTTTTGGATAAAGCTGTCATGGCTGATTGTTCTTCTTTTGTAATATTGCTGTGTTGAATTTGGCTGTTTTTTAATATCCCAACTACGTTATTTCTGAGTTCTGCTTTCTTTCCCTCATCTGTGATCTGTTGACATGCTAGTTCTGTTGCTACAATAAATTCATCATATGGTATTTCTTTTGGTGTGACTGCAAAGTTTAAACCTTTCTTTAATATGCTCTCTTCTGCTTCTGTTAGTTTGTATTGTGAAATGTTACATACCCATGAGTTTGGTGTGGAGTTGCCTTGTATTTCTCCCCTCTTTTTCTTGTTTATGAGTCTGTTTAACTTCTTTATGTGTCTTTCTTTCACTTTTATGAACTCTTGTTCCTGTTTTTCCATCATGTGTCCTTTAATTAGTTCCTCCATTTGTTTATCAAGTTTGTAATTCCTTTTCAAGTCCAGGTGTCCTCTTTCCAGTTCGTCCTCCACACGCCTCTGTTTGGTTATGACGTTCCTTATCCTCTCCTTGAGCAGTGCTCTCTGTGCTCTTTCTATTATATTTTGTGCTGTCTGGGTCCGGATCGATGTTTTCAGCTGTAGGCTTGTGGGTGTGATGTTTTCGTCCCGGCATCTTAAACAGAAGCGAAGGTGGTTTCTTAGACGTGCGCGTTTCTGGTGTAATCGTTCCAAACGGCGGAAGTCCTTCGTTCCTTGTTGTCCGTATTTCTCTTTGAACATCTTAGGTGTGTTCTTGCTGTGTCTTTGTAAATCCATGCTTTCGTTCTTTTTTAAACACAGAAACAGTTTTGTTTACCTGTTTGTAGCTACGGTTTCGCCGACAGCTGCCGGCTTCTTCAGCCGCCGGACAATAGAACACAGAAAGGAGTGCGAGAAAGAGGCAAATCGTAAACACACAAGAGCAGCAAAAGAAGAAGCAGAAAGTACAATAAAAAAGTCAGCCGTAACAGATCATTGCTTAAGAGAAAACCATATAATGGACTGGGACAGCACACGGATCATAACCACTGAACAACAAAAATACAAAAGATGGATCAAGGAAGCAATAGAGATAAGGAGACGTGGATGTGGGACCATGAACAGGGATGACGGAGTTTACTCGCTGGACCACTCATGGGACTGCATCGTCGGAGAGGGGAGAGCGGGCAGTAGAGGGCGACAACGTCCTCTGCTGCCCGCAGATAAACGGAGAAGGAAGTGACGCGCCACCATCAGCGTCAGCCTGAAGAAGCCGGCAGCTGTCGGCGAAACCATAGCTACAAACAGGTAAACAAAACTGTTTCTGTGTTTAAAAAAGAACGAAAGCATGGATTTAGAGGTACTGTTGATGAAGGGTTGACCGAGGTGGACAGAAAAGTTCTGTCACTAGATAAAGCAAGTTTTTATTTTTTTGTATTGATGAAGAAAGCTTACACATAAATATGGATGCACTTTTCTTTAAATCCAGAATGTTAATGTTGATTAGCTTTCTCAAACTTTCTAAATATCTATTTTGTCCTTCCCCAGTCAAGTCTGCGCAGAGGGAAGAAGCTGGACAGGAAGGAGCGAGTCAGCGAGCAGACCTATCAGCTGTCCCGCTGGACACCGCTGATCAAGGACATTATGGAGGTCTGGCGGTTTTGTCAGCGTTCACTCTACTATCCAGCATTCCTGCAGCCATGCAGGAGACGTCCGTGTATTCTTTCCATTTAAAATAAACTGCTGTTCCACTAGCAGCCTCTTATTTAGCAAAGCTACATGGTTGCTAAGATACGTGACACAACAATGAAGCTTCTAACTAAACATGCACGTGTTTTGTTTCTCTGCAGGATGCGATCGATGACAAGCTGGACACCAAGCACTACCCTTACATCTCCACCCGCTCCTCCGCCTCCTTCAGCACCACTGCTGTCAGGTACACACACACACACACACGTACGCACATACACACACACACACACACACACACACACACACACACACACACACACACACACACACACACACACACACACACACACACACACACACACAACACACACTCGTTTAATACATCTGCAGTGGTCTCTGGTAGGAATGGATGCGTTGTAAGTCTGGGTACAAAAAGCTCTGGTGCGCCTGTTTCAGGATCTAGAATCCAGATCAAAGGAGAGTTTCAGACAGTATTTCCTGATATTTGGACAACTCATCTCTGATTGGCTAACAGCAACACAACTCTACCACTGACTCTGTTTGCGCCGCCACATTGATGTTTTATCTCCACAAATAACACAAGCCTGGAGGAGTTCTGCTGTATGGTGGAGTTGCTAATGCTAACAGTTAGCTTCTACTATCCGAGACGTTCTCTGCTGTTCTGGACGCTAAACCAATAACAACCTTCCTCGACGCAAGTCAAGATGGGTGAGTTCATGAATGTAAGTGACAGTGTGACGTAGATCTGTCAGGAGTTTCTAATCCTAGAGTTTCACCGTCTGTTCTCTATCAGAAGCTACTGCAGGAGACAGGTGTAGGAGACTATTTTCATGTTCAGATTGCATGAAACAGTCGAATTGACACATACGAATCAGAAATAATCATTAACAATGTTTTTTCAGTGTTCCACGCCTTTAACCAAGACAGTGACGGTTCTAACTTTTTTTAGTCCAAATATTTGTAAAAAGTTCATGAAATGTCTGCAAAAACAATCCTGCAATAATAAAGTAGCAATTGTCAATGCTCTGAATGCAGATTCTCATAATTTCAGCACCATAATTAGCTGAATGTGTCTTGGTTTCAAGCTTGATGTCAGCTTGCTCGATTTTCTTTTTTACACAAATTCAGAAAATCAATATTCTTGCATTTTTAGACGTAATACAGGCTTAATTATTTATCTTAACACAGTTTTTTTATTATATCCCAATATTACGTGTCTTAATTTTAATCATGTAAAACACGTTTCTCCCAGAAAGAGCAGATGCTCCAGTTTCTAAAATCTCACCTCCTGCTTTGTTTTTCTGGCTGATAACACAAGAGCATCGAGCAACACCCAGTTTACCAAAAATTCTTGTCAACAGCACAAGATGGTAGACAATTTATCACCTGCTTGATAAAAACTGCGAAGCATCGGGATGTTTTGGAAAACTAGAGTGGCTTTAATTTGTATGCAGCCTGAAAATTTACTTCTCCTCCGTGGCAGTGCTCGTTACGGACACTGGCACAAGAATAAGACACCTGGAGAGTACCGCACCGGTCCACGGGTCATGGTCTTCATCATCGGCGGTGTGTCCTTCAGCGAGATGCGCTGCGCGTACGAAGTCACGCAGGCCAATGGGAAGTGGGAAGCTATCATTGGTGAGTAGCGCAGCATCGGTTCCTGCAGTCGTTTGGAAATGTAAAAACGACACCAGCTGGGTGACGAGTTGTTATGAAAAATGTTCGATCAGGGGTCTCCGAACTCTGATCCTGGAGGGTCCCTATCCTGCATGTTTTAGTTGTTTCCCTGCTCCAACACACCTGATTCAAAAGTTGAATCACCTGGTCCTTCTCTGTGGCCTAGCTGCAGAGTCCACCCTGGGACTGTGAAATCGGGGTTCAAATCCCGGTCGGGTCATACCAAGACCTTAACAATGGGACCCAGTGCCTCCCTGATTGAAACTCAGCTATAAAGGGTTGGAATTGGGGCGTTAAACCACCAAATAGTTCCAGACCGCCATCGCAGTTGCTCACCGCTCCCCACGGGGATGGGTCAGAGGCGGAGATGAATTTCACCAGTGTGATGACTAGCGGGACTTAAACTTCAGCTGCTCATGCAGCAGTATGCTAATCACCTTCTGAATAAATTCAGGTGTGCTGAGGCAGATAAACCTCCATAACATGCTGGGAGGAGACATTCTGGACTGGACACCATTGTCTCTGAGAAGTTGTTTTTTATAAAACATCCACGGAAAATGTCTTATTTTCTGGAGAAACCAGTTTGAAAAGAAGTCAGTCTGGCCTGCAGGTTTTCTGAAACGTCTCAACATGAAGGAGGAGGAGTCTACAATAACAAGTGAGCCGAGTGCAAAGCTAGACGTCCAGATTAAGTGTCATACGTTTCTTTGCACACATGTAAGTAATTTAGGTAAAACCCCACTGGTGATTTCTCGTTAATATTCTGTGCTCTAAATGAAATTAGAGGTCAGAACTTAACGGTTTCAGAGTCATTAAACAGAGAACTCCAAATATTTCTACCCCTCAAACCCAACATGGCTGCTCTGCTCGATGTAGTTTCTGCTCTCTTGCAGTATGTTTTCCTACAGAGCCGGTTTTCAAGCATACATGGTTTTGGTTTCTTAACTCATTCACTGCCATTGACGACTTAGCATGTTATTACCATGTGGGCGTCGGACGAGCCCCCGCACCGTGAGAACAAACATCTCAGCTCTAAAGCCGATCTTCATCCACATACGTCACTCGTCACGTGATCAGGAAGCAGAACATCCATGTGTTAGGAGATCGTTTTGGGCCGCTGCTGTAAAAAAAGTGAGTCGCGAACCAGAAAAGCTTCTGCCGATCACAATTCAACAACGGATTACGATAGAACGGATAACGCTCCAAACGCGCGGATTCTTCCTGATGTAAGAGGTGAGTCCCCTCTTTGTTTTGGTTGTTTTGGCGTCAACATCATCCGAGCGCGCAATGTTCTGTCACTCTTAAAAAACAGTAAAAACGGTGAAAGCGAAGGGCTTTAGCGATCAGGAAACGGCTGGCAGTGAATGAGTTAATTACGTTGCTCATTCATTTGAATCACTAAAAAGTCCAACTCAGCCACCTGTTGGTTTAAATCAGAAACTTTAATCTCTTTAAAATGTGAACTCTGAATGTTGATTCCCAACTAATGAGTAAATGTTAAATAACTGGTTTCAAATTGACCAAAAGTCACCCGTTACCAGAGTCTTACTCCACCCGCATTTACTGTTTGAACAACCCACCCCCACCCGGTGCTTCTAATTCAATTCAATTCAGTTCAGTTTTATTTATAAAGCGCCAAATCACGACAAGAGTCGTCTCAAGGACCTTCACAAAGTAAACATTCCAATACAGGTCAGGTCATTAAGCCAATCAGAAAAAAGTTTCCTGTATAAGGAACCCAGCACGTTGCATCGAGTCACTGACTAGTGTCAGAGTCTTTACAGCAATCCTCATACTAAGCAAGCATTTAGCGACAGTGGAGAGGAAAACTCCCTTTTAACAGGAAGAAACCTCCAGAGAATCCTGGCTCAGTATAAGCAGCCATCCTCCACGACTCACTGGGGATGGAGAACTGTCAGGGAACCGAACCGCTAATAAACACGCGTGCAAAGGACTAGAGAGAGAAGGGTTGTGTTTTGGAGGGGGTGAGCGGTCCTGAGCCGTATCGTTTCAAACCACTGGCTCGTGAGTTGCCTCGCTATTCCAGCTCCAGCTGTTGATGGGGGAGTAGCCCAGCCCGAGACTTGGCTGCTTTTATACCACACAGTGGCAGTGCAGGTGACATCATATGGCACCAGCAACTCCATAGGGTGCACCTTAGCCAATGGTGATGTCTGATTCAAATTCAATGTAGTGCCGAATTTGAACCTGAAGAGGGCGCCACAGTGGCGTTTGTTGGCAGAATAATTAATTTTTAAATTACATTTGAACTAAAATGCTAAAATAATGACAGCACCATTTTACATTCATTTCTACAGTTCATCAGCAAAATAATTATTTTTGGGGTGCTTTGCTCTAATATCTGATTAATTCCAGTTTCAAATTGAAAGTCAACGATTTTATTACTTAAAATATCTCCAAAGATGTTTTCAATGTGGTTTTTAGAATTCATAAAAGACAAATCCGATCTTAAAATCATTTCTGTTGAACAGGGAATTTTTAAATTCTGACTTCTGTAGATTTTACTGACGATTGATCTATTAGTAGTTATTAGTAGCCCCCTATTGGAATTTGTAATGATTAACCCTTTTAAGTCTGAATCTAAATAATCGAGTTTAATATGTCATTATTTAACTAATCTAATGGTAACAGTTAAATAAAACCGGTAGCTCCTCCACTAGAGGACAGTAGACACATACAGGAGAGGCACTAATCCTGATGCTCCATCTGGATGCTGTGAGGTCAGAACTGGCTTGATGGGAGTTTGTTGTAAGGGTTAAAGCCAATAATTAAATTGCTATTACAAAAAAATAATAATGAAATATTTATTAAAAGTTTTTTTGACGAAGTTTCTTTAAATAAACAGTTTCACCCCTCTATCTTTGTAGTGCTTAGATTTATGAACCAGTTTATTTTAAACCACTTCCAATATTTCCTCTTTTTTTAATAGATTCCACAAAATGTCAATGGAAACCTTTAGGATGTAGACGGGCGTTAAGGGCGGAGTTTTACTTCGGGTTTACACTCAGACATCACGATGCAAACACACCAGTACAGACGATCATCCCATCACAGCAGCTGGAGTTGTTCTAACAGTGTGTGTGTGTGTCAACGCCCCTTCATGTCGTGGCCCTCTGTCCCGCTACAGCTTCACCGTTCAGTCTGTGTTATAATTATGACGTGTTTTGTTGATTTTGTTGTGCTCTGCTTCAGCTGTTGTCTTTAAACTGTGTCTGTGCCTTCCAGTTCGACTTTTGTGTGTTTGTGCAGCGAGGTGAGTGTGTGTTTGTGACCGTCTGTGGACGAGTGTGTGCTTGTGACTGTCCGTGGACGAGTGTGTGTTTGTGACTGTCCGTGGACGAGTGTGTGCTTGTGACTGTCCGTGGACGAGTGTGTGTTTGTGACTGTCCGTGGACGAGTGTGTGTTTGTGACTGTCTGTGGACGAGTGTGTGTTTGTGACTGTCCGTGGACGAGTGTGTGTTTGTGACCGTCTGTGGATGAGTGTGTGCTTGTGACTGTCCGTGGACGAGTGTGTGTTTGTGACTGTCCGTGGACGAGTGTGTGTTTGTGACTGTCCGTGGACGAGTGTGTGTTTGTGACTGTCCGTGGACGAGTGTGTGTTTGTGACTGTCCATGGACGAGTGTGTGTTTGTGACCGTCTGTGGATGAGTGTGTGCTTGTGACTGTCCGTGGACGAGTGTGTGTTTGTGACTGTCCGTGGACGAGCGTGTGCTTGTGACTGTCCGTGGACGAGTGTGTGTTTGTGACTGTCCGTGGACGAGTGTGTGTTTGTGACTGTCCGTGGACGAGTGTGTGTTTGTGACTGTCCGTGGACGAGTGTGTGTTTGTGACTGTCCGTGGACGAGCGTGTGCTTGTGACTGTCCGTGGACGAGTGTGTGTTTGTGACTGTCCGTGGACGAGTGTGTGTTTGTGACGGTCCGTGGACGAGTGTGTGTTTGTGACTGTCCGTGGACGAGTGTGTGTTTGTGACTGTCCGTGGACGAGTGTGTGTTTGTGACTGTCCGTGGACGAGTGTGTGTTTGTGACTGTCCGTGGACGAGTGTGTGTTTGTGACTGTCCGTGGACGAGTGTGTGTTTGTGACTGTCCGTGGACGAGTGTGTGTTTGTGACTGTCCGTGGACGAGTGTGTGCTTGTGACTGTCCGTGGACGAGTGTGTGTTTGTGACTGTCCGTGGACGAGTGTGTGTTTGTGACTGTCCGTGGACGAGTGTGTGTTTGTGACTGTCCGTGGACGAGTGTGTGTTTGTGACTGTCCGTGGACGAGTGTGTGTTTGTGACTGTCCGTGGACGAGTGTGTGTTTGTGACTGTCCGTGGACGAGTGTGTGTTTGTGACCGTCCGTGGACGAGTGTGTGTTTGTGACTGTCCGTGGACGAGTGTGTGTTTGTGACCGTCCGTGGACGAGTGTGTGTTTGTGACGGTCCGTGGACGAGTGTGTGTTTGTGACTGTCCGTGGACGAGTGTGTGTTTGTGACTGTCCGTGGACGAGTGTGTGTTTGTGACTGTCCGTGGACGAGTGTGTGTTTGTGACTGTCCGTGGACGAGTGTGTGCTTGTGACTGTCCGTGGACGAGTGTGTGTTTGTGACTGTCCGTGGACGAGTGTGTGTTTGTGACTGTCCGTGGACGAGTGTGTGTTTGTGACTGTCCGTGGACGAGTGTGTGTTTGTGACTGTCCGTGGACGAGTGTGTGCTTGTGACTGTCCGTGGACGAGTGTGTGTTTGTGACTGTCCGTGGACGAGTGTGTGCTTGTGACTGTCCGTGGACGAGTGTGTGTTTGTGACTGTCCGTGGACGAGTGTGTGTTTGTGACTGTCCGTGGACGAGTGTGTGTTTGTGACTGTCCGTGGACGAGTGTGTGTTTGTGACTGTCCGTGGACGAGTGTGTGTTTGTGACTGTCCGTGGACGAGTGTGTGTTTGTGACTGTCCGTGGACGAGTGTGTGTTTGTGACTGTCCGTGGACGAGTGTGTGTTTGTGACTGTCCGTGGACGAGTGTGTGCTTGTGACTGTCCGTGGACGAGTGTGTGTTTGCGCGTTGCGTCAGGTTGTTTGACCGTTTGTTTCTTATTTATTTTGTGAACAACTGGGGGGGGGGGGGGGGGGGGCATGTGCTGTGAGACGAGTGGTGAAGCCGCCTCTGTTCCTCCACAGGTTCCACCCACTTGCTCACTCCAACCAAATTCTTATCGGACCTGCAGCACCCCGACTTCCGAGAGTCTACTAGGGTGTCCTTTGAGGACCCAAATCCCTCGGACGAGTGAGGCAGAGACAGATTGGGAGGGAGGGAGAGAAATCTCACAGGAAAAAGTAAAGGCAGCTGCACGAAGAAGCCCTTTCTGAACATTGACAGGATAAGGGCTTCATCTTGGCTCCTCCCCGCTCTTCTTGAACACTCAGTTCTGTTTTATGTAACCTGACATTCCTCCTCCCTGTGTCCCTCAGGGATGGACACCCCCGATCCTTCCTCACTGCATGGACTGCTCCATCAGGCTCCTCACCTTAACAGTCACCAACCAAACGAAGCCAAAAGCTTAAATCCCTGATTGGTTTCATGCTTTGCAACAATTCGCTCGGTTATTTAGCAGGAAGATCTGGAAACTAAAAGCTGCCGGTGGGAACGTAGTTATTCTGACCATGCCTGAGGAAGTCGTGGCTCCATCCCTGCTGCCTCTTCTCGTCATCTCAACTGGGTGGATTAAATCACACCCACAGGTCCACTGAGACTGTCTCACACTCATTCCAGATTTAATCTACCACCCAACATCGTTCCGTTTTAGCGTCTGATTCTTTAGTTCTCTGCTAAGACAATCACAATCATTTGTTGGTTGTTTCTTTCAGAGCAGCTCAGTAAGTTGGTGTTAGCCTTATTAAATACTTTTTTTTCTTGTCTATTACATATTAAGTATTTTGACTGTGTCCTCTCAGTCCGCCATCACATGCTCACATCTCGTCTGCAGACAGTGGCAAACACTTAATTCCTGACGCGTAATTTGAAATTAAATATACACGAAACTGTCCAAAAATAAGGAATTTACTAAATATTTTGTCCAGATTAAAACCGTCTTCTTGCTGTTAGCAATTATTAAAGAGGCAGTCTATGTGGAACTAAGGCATTTTTCTTATTCATTTTCTCAGTTTTATTTATTTATTTATTTTCGCAGCTTTTATTGGAAATGGGCAAACTGAAAAAAACTACAAAATTTCGGTATCAGTATGCACCAATCAGCCACTTTATTAGGTACACCATAAACCTATTTTATACTTCTCCGTCTGCGTCGGGATGGTCAGGACGGACGCACGCAACGCCATTATCTGTCCTCGCGAGCCTGCTGGAGAGCCCTCGCAAGGACGGATGGAGTTGAGCTCTCTTTCAAGCATCCGTCCATCGAGATGGAGAATGCAAGCTGCTGATTGGTCAGTACGTCGCTGTCATCTACACCGCCGCCATTGCGCCCTCAAAAACAAAAAGAGAGCCGAGGATGACTAGCGGCAGGACCTTCTAGCTACAAGGCAACAGCTCTAACCACTGCGCCACTGCGCAGCCCCAAACTCTGACTCGACAGCTGAAATCCAGACTCATCAAACCAGGAAAGGTTTTCCAGTCTCATCTGGTCTAGTTCTGGTGATCCTGTGGGAATCATAGCCACAGTTTTTTTATTCTTAGCTGACAGGAGAGACACCTGGTGTGGTCTTCTGCTGCTGAAGTCCACCTGGAGCAGCTGGTGGGTCTGTAGACCTTGGTAGGAAGCAGTGCTCCCTTCTGATCCATTCTGGCACTCAGTTGGAATATCAGCAAGTTTCAAGTTGCTTCCATGTGATTGGCTGGTTTGAATTTGACATCGACAAGCAACTGAACACCTATTAAAGTGGCTGGGGAGTGTTCAATATTTACAGCCTTAACCCCACGAGGAAAGTTGACCATTGAGCAGGGATGATGGTTTATCCCTTGGGTCCACGTGGCAGGGGTGAGGAGTGAGCACCACCTCACCCCTGCCACATGGACCTAAAGGGATAAACCATCAATCCTGCTCAATGGTCAACTTTCCTCGTGGGGTCACCCATTAGGACAGTGGGAGGGTTAATACAAAGAGCCAGTAGGTATGAGACCTTAAGAGGTTGCAGAAGTACTCCTACCAAAACAAGGGTGTGTGTTTTACTTCCTGTTTCTGTTTTCTGTCTTGTGGTAGGTGGTCTGGCTGTGTGTGCATGTTAGTGCATGCAAGTCCTAGCAGCAAAATTACACCCAGGTTCTAATCCACTAAATAAGTCAGGAAAAAGTGTCCAGACTCCATTTTGCTTTGGCGTTTCAGAGAAAAACAGCCTACGATTTTTTAAAGTCATACATTAAATCCCTTTTAATATTAGCTCTTTAAAACATGACTCATTATTAACCTGCCGACTAACTTTTGATTTTACGACTCTGGGCTTCTGTTTTCTTTCAACATTACTCAAGGCTGCCATCATACTGTAGGCATTCATAAAAGCTAAAAACACATTTAATTTTAGGAAGTGTTGATTTCCTAACGTACAGATCTAATGCCCTGGTTGTGTGTATGTGTGTGTGTGTGTGTGCGTGCGAACGTGTATGTGTGTGTGTGCGTCTCCAGGATCGACTCACATCTTCACCCCCACCTGCCTGCTGGAGCAGCTCAAGGCCATGAACAAACCAGATGAAGAAGTGACGAGCTAAAATCCTCCAATCACATCATGTTTCTCATACCCACCCCTCCCATCCTTAATCATAATACCTCCACATCTTTCCAAACTAAACTAAATTCATCAACTGTGTATGCGTCTTGCTTGAGGAAAGAAAAAAATCACATCTTAGAGATGATGAAAAAATAAATGTTATATCAAAGAAAATAAAACTACGCTTATGATTTGAAACGGATGCAACTAAATAAACGTATTTAAAGAGAATTAAATATCAGAAGGCCACTTAAAATAGAAATGACCAAAATGTCATGTTATATGCTCTGATGATGAACCCTGCTGCTAGAACGTGTAAAGGTAGACATTTTTTTCCCATTATTGTGCCCTTGGGTTCCCTTCTCGTTGTGGGTTTTACTGTTAGCAGCAGAATGAGGTTGTGCACTCAAAAGAGGTTCAAATTGTAAAAATATATCATGCAATATATATGTAAGCATATATTTCATCAGAGGGCAGCACTATCCACCCATTTGAGATGTTTTGTATTCAGTAGCATGCTTGCACCTGTGTGTTCTGTGTTTTATTGAGTGTGGGTGAGAGGGGCGCAGCAGAGTTAGCTTATTTCTAGGTTGCTTTGGGTGAATGCTACACCAACGGCTTTGTTTTGAGTATTACATGGTTTAAATGCTTTTCTAATAATTATGTTTCCATCACATATTTGGTTTAATAGTTTGAATTAACTACTTTTTTCTAAGTGTAGCCTGACATTAGCAAAATCAGCTAACCAGCTGTTAGCTCAACTAGCCGACACGCTAGCTGTTTTTTAGCCGTATTGTGGTGAAAATGTTACCATTTTTATGATATTAAGCACAAAAAATGAACAAACAAGGAGGATAATGCTTATGAATATAATTTACAGAAATATTTAGAATGTTTTAGTAGTTTTTGTGTTGTTGCCTGATACTCAAAACAAGGTTTTGGTTTAAATATTCACTCAAAATGCTTGATTGAGAAAAGATGGAAAAATTAGAAGAAAAAGAAGAAGAAAAAGAAGAAAATATCATTTCTATAGCGCCTCTCAAGATAAAAATCACGAGGCGCTTAAAAAGTTATGTTTAAGCTAAAACAATCCCTCCTTTGATTGCCCCTGTTGTAATTTCCTGCACCAACATTTTTCCATATTTAGAAAAGGTGCTTTGTTGTTGAAAAGGCCATTGCTTGCTGATATTTAACGACCATAAAGGTCCAGTTGTATTTCAGTATTGTACCCTGTCAGGTTACGGTCCAATCACTGGTTAGTGATGATGTTTATTGGGCCATGCATTGAGTTGTGTCGTGTAAACGCCATTTGTTGCCGTTTTAGTGTCTTACTGTTGAATGGTGATTTTATTTTTAAATTGTGCAGTAGTGAAACCTTTCCTTTAACATGCTAACGTGAAGCCAGTACGTTTGTGATGCTCTAGCTGTAGTTTTTAGTGGCGAGTTTGAAACAAAAAAAATGATTTCCCTTGTTTTCTTCTTTGGTGCAATTTAACCCCTCCAATGGTGAATGGCTTTGCAAGAAAAAACAAAACAACTACCACTTTCCTTCCCTCGCTGGACTCTTTCCTTGCCAAAAAGTTGTAATTGCACTATTATGCATTTTCTGTGATGCAAACACTTAAGTTTCTTATTTAAAATGATTATAATTTACTGTTGTACAGAGTTTATTCTGCCAAAAATCAACTGATTTACATCAATATTATTTATCAGAGGAAATTAACATCAGTCTGTCCTACAACCGTCTTACATATTGGGATTGTATGTTTGCGAGTGTTGAAGCACAACCAGTACTTCCGTGTGTACCTAATGTGTACTAAGGCCGTCTAATAAATTGGCTTCCATTAAACTGAGTGTTCTTTATTTATTTTTTGCTTAAAAAAGTTCCGTACATAAAAGATATAAGTGTAAAAATTAACAAATGTATTTGATTTAGTCAGCAGTACTGATTTAAACTTATTTCACTGTTGGTGTTGAAAGGAAAAAGGTGTATGGTTTTTTTTTTGAGCAAAGAGTTATTAAAAATCATACAGGACAAGAAAAACATTTATACAAAAGCTAAATCTTGCAGTAAATTGGAAACCTCATTCACATCAGTCAGAATGGATGTGGTGCGGTGTCTGTACAGTTTCCACATTGACCAAACATAATTAAGTCCAGTCTGGATGCAAAAGCTCTGGAAAGTTTGCGCATGGAGCTGTTTTTTCTGGATGCTGCATGCAGATTGTCATGAAGTTAAAGAAATATGGAGCAAGTCTCCTCCCCTTCCACAACGGGGTTATAAAAGCTATTTCCGAATAAGCTTAGCTCATGTCCCGAGTCACACATATGTTGTATTTCAATTTAAATGATGAATAATTGTGTGTTTCGAATACGACTGCCGCTGACTAAAGTCGGGCGTAAGGACTCGTTCTACTGTGCTGTGCTCTGTCGTCCACCAGGTCCAAACAGTTTTTATCCTCCGCTGTGAAGCTGTCCAGACTGCTGATTTCTGGTTATTTTAACATCCATGATGGCTTTGATGTGACCTTCATCACCACCCTCTCCTTATTCTGCTCTTTCTACCTACCCAGCCCTATCCCAGGATCCACTGATTTCCCTCTTTCCCATTAATTTTATTTCCCTTTCCTTACATTTTTTATTTTTTTTTTCTCTTTTTAACATAATTTTTTTAATAAATAAAATATATATACCGTAAATACTCTAATACAGGCCTGTATTCAATTAACGGCCGGGTCTCATATTTTGGCCGGTGTCTGAGTCGGCGGAGGTGAATAATGGCCGGTCTCTTATTGTGGCCGGGTGGAATGTGGTAACAAGCAAGTACGGGGGGCGGTTGTGTCATCGTCTCACTTTTGATTTGCCAGTGATAGACCGCGAGGGTAACTTTAACCGTGCGGAGACGAAGAGGAGGCAAAAATTTGATGTCAAGTTCAAAGAGAACGTGCTGATTATGCTGCAGAACACTCTGGGGAGCAGTAGCAGGGGTTGTATGAACTAGTCACTAGTTGACTTCACTATAGTGACTTGTTATGCCTGTCATCGACTAGTCGCTGTCACGTGATAATGACCGGCAAGATGCAGTCCTCGGAAAAGACAGCAGCCTGCTGTCAGCAGGTGACAAGCTCCTGTGCTCGGGGGTGGGGGGTGGGGGGGGGGCAACGCGCTGTGCCAGAGCGTCAGTACTGACACGCGATCGTTCATGTCGGTTCATTTCCTTTAATGTTTTCTGTCTTTTATTTGCACCTGATGCGTTTCGCTGCTGTGGAGCGGGGCGCATCACCTTGTCCTCCGATGCACCGATCACTGATGCGGCCGCCAAGCAGGGAGCACTCCGCTGTTTTAGCGGTCGGTAGATCTTTTAGAACTGCAGTTCAAAGGTAACTCATGAGGTGAATATATATGAACCCAGGTAGCAGTTTCTCTTTAGGATTGAGAGGAGATGCAGGAAGATAATAAACAGGCAGGACAGAAAAATAGTCAAATAAAAACAAGTTAGTTTTTGTACCTGCTGGTTGCAACAAACAGACACCACTGAAGGTAATCAGAAGTGAGGAACAGAAAATGAAATAATTATTTTAATGTTTAGAGCAGCAGGAACTCCGAGAGGCTGCAGGCGCATCAGTGAGTTTGCGGCCGCTGCGCAGGGGGAGGGGGGAGAGGGCTGAAGCAGGGGGAGGGGGGAGGGGGGAGAGGGCTGAAGCAGGGGGAGGGGGGAGGGCTGAAGCAGGAACTACCGTTGTTAAAAGAAATGTGTTTAACTTTGAAAATGTGGGCGCAATTTTAATTGTCAAAAACTCCAGCGAACCATTAGTTCATTTTGCTCAAATAGACATTGAGGCCTGCCTCTAATTCTGGTCCTCCTTCCAATAAAGGCCTGGAGCTTGATGAGCTTGAGTCAAATACAGGCCCGGGCCTCTATTAGAGGATTTACGGTATATTATATTTACATTTTTTAGTTCTTTTGAAGAGCCTCGTGATTTATATCTTGAGAGGCGCTATATGAAAGATCACTTTCTTTCTTATTCAGAATGCTGCTGTTGGAGTAAATGGCCTGTATTTGTACAGCACCTTCTAGGGTTCTACAATCCCCCAAGGTGCTTCACAACACAATCGTTCACCCATTCACACGCTGGTGATGATGATCTAGCCACAGCCGCCCTGGGGCTCACCGACAGAGGCGAGGCTGCCAAACACAGGCGCCACTGGTCCCTCTGACCACCACCAGCAGGCAAGGTGGGTTAAATGTCTTGCTCAAGGACACAACAGCAGCATTCTGTCAGGAGCTGAACTCGATCCTACAACCCTCCAATTACAGGACAGTCTGCTCTACCTCCTGAGCTACTGCTGAGAGTCTTAACAAGAGCCAAGAGAACCAATCACATCACTCCTGTTCGTAAGCCTTTACACTGGTTACCAGTAAACTACAGAATCCATTTCAAAGTACTTCTACTAGTTTATAAATCACTCAGTGGCATGGGGCCAAAATACATGTTGGATCTATATGCCTAGCAGGGCTCTGAGATCCGTAGGAAGTAGTCAGCTGGTGGCCGCAAAGCGAGCGTGTGTCGCGCGGCACCGGTTCTGCTGCACTCGCTGATCTATTCATTTACTTTTTTGTACTGTTGTTGATGTTGGGGACATCTTAAAACCCTCTACAATATTTCACCGCTTGTTTAATTATGAAACTAGTTAAGCTGTCCAGTCCTTGGAAGCAGAGTAACATCACAAACCAGAGGACAGACTGCTACTTCTCTTCGTTCCTCGACTCAATACCTCGGCTGTAATTTGAAACACCCTTCTGGAAGTGAACATTCTCCCAAACAGCTGACATTCTGGCGTCGAGTTCACGTTTTAAATCGTTGAAGGAACCAGCAGCAGGGATGGCTTTTCACCAGTGTTCCTACCCTGCATGCTTATGGAAACTCACTTTAAGAAACAAGACTGGTTTCTTCTTCATTTCTAAATCTTCCTTCAATTTAAACAGCTAATCGGATCATGTCTGCAGCAAAAACTGGTTCTAACAAAGTTTCACGTTCCTCGATTTCATACATTCACTCGTCCACAGCTGTGTAACCCCCCCCCCCCCCCCAAACAGCCCAAGGAAACAGAGCCCGTGAGCTCCTGAACCGTTGTTTTTATCATTACTGAAGCTGAGGGTCCTGGCTGGGTGTGTTAACAGGGTAAACTACAGAAAAGTTATTTTTTTTATTGATATTGATTAAAAAAAAAAGAATCTCACAGTTTTGCTGCTACAAAAATCACAAGAAGGCTGATTATGACATTTCTTTCTGGGAAAGTCTTTCAGATTTAGTCTCAACACTTCCTTTAATTTTTTTGTTGTCTCCAAAAATATGTTCTGCTAAATTTTAAAACCAACCCCTCACTTCCTTTCCCAGGGAAGTTTATTCTAAAAAAAATCTGCTATAATTTTAAGCATCAAATAGAAAAATTAAACTTTTTTAAAACCTTAACCCAGAGTTTTTCTATTTTGACACGACTCCTTCAAAAGGTTGTAGCTTGGAAATGGTTGGAGATAAAGGTAAACAGTATACGAGTCAAATCTTCAGTAGGACCCAAAGTTTATGTTAAGGAGCAAATTCACTCATCTAATTTGCGCATTATGACATCATCATGCTGCCATATTGTAATGCATCATTTTCCAGATGATCCATCATATTTTTACATATTACTTTGAAATTTCCATTATATTTAGAATATTAAATTTATATGTACTTATAGAAAGCTCATTTTTATTATAACTTATTATTCCATTTTTATGATTATGTGGCACACTTTAACTTCCATATCTAATGCATCTGCTGCTTTTCATGGCCTTTTTTTTACCATCATTTCTACATCCATCATGTTCCAAAGACAGTGAAACAAACGTAAACTCAACGTTTGGAGCTTGGATGTTCCTGATGCTACGCGCTGCGTCAGCGTCAACCTTTCTGGCTGGATGGGTGAATTTCATCATCAGAGTCAATAATCTGCTTCATAATCGGAGTTGGTCATTACCAGACAAAGAGACCGGTCAACAAAGACCAGACCTGCTGGCGATTGTAAGTTTTATCCCTCTAATATTCGCCATCTTTGTGCTGCGCTCACCTCCTCCTCTCCCTGACCGGGGGACTCTCGGCGGGAGGTGGTTTTCAAACTCCAAAAACTCAGAAACGTTCAATATAAACACACCCATGAGTGTTGCTAGGCCTGAAGTGACACATCTCCTCTACCTTCTGGTGTTAAGTAGTAACTGCAGGAGGGATCATATTTGAAGCTGTGGCTTGAAGCGATGACCCTTGTCGCAATATTGTGACTTTGGTGCTTAAAGGGTTAAAATTCCCCAGTAACAATTCAAATACCAGGAGAACCCCACATCCTAAAACTGAACTCAGCAACATGTTATGAGTAACTTTATTGTACAAAATCATGTAAAAAAACTACAATAAGGAAAACTATTTAACCCACATTTTCACAGTGCTGAAACTGAGCGGTGTCCATTAGCTACGCTGCTGAAGGTTTGACCGCGTAAGCAGAAAGACACGGAGATCATCCAGAACAGAACAGAACAGAGAACAAAAGGAACACCAAGCTGAGAGTTTAGAAGTCTTACAGAAGGAACAACAGTAACATTTCTGGTGTCTAATTCAAACTCTGAATAAAACCTATAGGTCAAAGTAAAATAAGTTGTTAATCTTTAAAAAGCACAAAGTTTCCACATTTCATATGAAAAACGTAGAAAAGTTCTGACCCATTGGGACTTGTTGTTGCTGAAAAACACGTTAAAAATGCACCAAAGCAAAACCAACAGCATGAGAGAAACAAATACCTGAAGCTGTTTTCTCTACAGTACTGCTAGGGCTGGGCAATAAATCGGAAATTTATCGTTACCGAAATTTCTGACTTTTATCAAGATAATTTTTCCCATATCAATAAATTTGATAATTAAAAAAAAAATGAAAGGATGTGTAGGTTGGCAGCATTCATGTCCCTTTAGGCCTTTTTCTTTGGGCCCTGGCGCCTCCGTTTGGAGTTTCGCGTCCCAAGTGTCAGTGATGGTTTGCGTTCCCCGAGCACACACGTAAACAAAGCAATGTTTGGTTTCGGATGCATTAAGATAAAATAATAGTTGAACTTTATTTTAGAAGAGCTGCCCTGTGTGAACGTGCTGACAGGATGGAGGTTGTGAGTTCAAATTCCATTTAGGAAATTTAGTCAGTTGTTTTATTTATTCTCAACTACATTTGTTCAAGGTTTTTTTTTCAGCAGACACCAGAGAAGGTCAGATGCTCTTCTAAAATAAAGTTCAAATATCGTTGTATCTTAATTTATTACTATTTAAAATTGCCTTGTTTCCCATCTGGGCTGTCTGGTTGTGGTTTTAGTTGTGTTTGGAGAATGTGGACAGTTGTACACTCCTTAACGAAAATTAACAACTGAGACAGTCCCGTGTGTGTGTGTGTGTGTGTGTGTGGCCTGGAGGACAGAGGACAGGAGAACATGCAGCTAATTAATTAAATAATGTGGTTCTGTAGCTTTCTCTTCAGCACAGCCGACAAAGGTTTATGATGGGTCAGTCCTCCTGCATGCTCAGATCATTCCCTTCCCTTGCTTGAAAATTTGTTCCACAATGAAAGTTGAACCCACATCTTTTTTATCTGTGAATTCAATGCCGTTCGGCGAGTCTCAAATAAAAATTTGGGCATCTTACTGTAAAAAAATATACCATTAATGTAAAAAAGAAACTCTAAATGAACTATGTTTACATCCAGAATCAAACCCAGGACTTCAGCATGAGAGTCAGACATCTTACTAGGTGAGCTACACTCTAGTAACATTCACAGTATCTGTAACATTTATATCCTTGATGACAGCTGAAACAACGTTCAAAGAACGGGTCGGAGTGAAAATGGCTATTTTGTTGCTAATTAGCAGGAAATATCTAGAAGAAAGTTCTACAGAAAGTAGCTAAGGGTCCTCAGAAATGTAGCTAGCTTTGTCACTAGGCGTTAGGAACAGCGACAAAGTGACACTGCCTCATCTCTCTGCTGCTAAAGCTACGGATAGCAAATGCTACGGGCGATGCCTGAGCGTGAACGTGCATGAAGCAGCCTGCTCGACCCGAGCATCTCTCTTTTTCTGTGATTTTACAGAAAAACAGGAAATCACAGTAAAAATGCCAGGGCTCATTCTACAGGACCAGGGCATCGCAGGAGAACGTATGAAGAAGACATTTATTATTTCTATACATGTTTTGGCTGTCACAATTCCATTATGTCCCTTTAATGTCACGTAAACATGTGACTCAACAACACACGTGACAGCTCCATCTAGTGGACAACTTTTGTTTCTGCGCACACCTGTGGTTATCGTCTACTCATCGAGGTGAAATCCTCAATATATTGTGATATTGATTTTAGGCCATATCGCCCAGCCCCAGCACCTGGTTATAAACCAGTACGGTCTACGGGATTTGACTGAGATGTCTGAACTCCTGGCAGAACTTCTGCTGTAAATATAAAATCTAGTAAAGGAACTAAGTCGCGTTAAATGCACAATAAATTAGAAATGAGCTTTTTATTCGCTGCATGGAAGCACAGGTTGTCTCGCAGCAGGAAGGTTGCAGGTTAGAATCCTGGCTTAGGCGTTTTTATATGGAGTTAGGGTGTGTGCTCCGGTTCCTCCCATAGCCCAGAAACACGCACGTCTGAGTCGCTGAGGCTAAACCAATAAACATCATTTAAAAAGCATTTATTAAAAATCCTTCAAAGTTTTTTCACCTAAATGTAAAAATAACCCTAAAATATTTACAAACATGTTTTTATTTACTTTGGTCTCCATCCCAGTTTATTTAAGCTGATGCTGCTCCGGTTCTGGCTCTAGGACCAGTGGGCCTGAGCCAGCAGCTGGTGGTGCTGCAGGCCTGAAGCCAGAGAGCGAGCCATGTGTCTGGAGGTGTGCTTCATGTGCCGAGCTGCTCTGACGGCTCTGGCCAGAGAGCTGTCGACGGAGCGATCAACAGAAAGGGAGCGTCTCACCCTCCCCCTTTCCTCCTCCTCCTCCTCCTCCCTGGGGCGTCTGACCCTTGACCTTACATGTGCAACGTTGTCAGGAGACGAGTGAAGAGCTGCTGAGCACAACCTGAGGATGGAGAAAGAGACAGCGCTAGATCTAAGTTAGACAGCATCACAACAGTTAGGCTGTAATCATGTGAATGTTTCCTGTTTAAACTCAGTCACACTGAAATCATCCACTCAGGCGGCCATGTTTGCTCAGAGGCTGAACTCGACGCTTTCAGGCTTCAAACCCAAACGCAACAACAATAAAATCACTCATAAATAAACCACAATGTTCTTCTGGACTAAATTATTGTTCTACTGATGTTAACGTTTAGCTAAACTTCTGATCTGAAGCTAAATGTGAACAGAACATCTGAACTCCGACCATCTATGTGTTTTTTTTTTGCTGATGGCTAACAGACTTACACACATTTCCTAAAAGGCTCCAGAGTTTGAACAGGTGAGTGTGTTTCATCAGCCGTGAACCCTCATTTCTGTCTAAAACAGACCATAATAATTCAGGAAGAGGTTTCAAACTCACCGTTTCAACTCTGTTGATCAGGACCGACGGCCGGTAGCGTCTGACCCTCCCGGCGTTTTAACTCTGACTCAGTGAGACCACTAGAGGTCTTCGTCTGACTCATCCCACCAGGCAGGGTTAGATTTAGATAGCGGGTTATATCACCATGGCAACAGACTCTCCAGAACTAGAAACCCTGAGTTTGTACTGGTCCCGCCCACCTGAGGCAGCCATCTTTAAATAATCGTACTGAAGCAGAATTCTTTCATGATTTTCCTTCCTGGATGGGATCTGTTGTCATCCCAGAGCATCTTTGAGTTGGAGCATCACACATCAGAGTCCGACTCAACTCTGGGTTCATCAGTTCTTTTACAAATCGGTGACTCCAACAAGTAAAACCCACAGACGACAAGCTGGAGACGGAGCTCTGATCTGGGGAACTTACAGGAGCTGAGGTGGGCCGACTGGCAGCAGATGGAGGATCGGAGCAGACGCTGCAGCACAGAGCCTCCTGTCTGTGGTTCTGTCTGGAGACGGGGCTGGCTGGACGTTGTGGTGTGAGGATGGCTTTTGCGTGTGACGGTCTGTGAACAGAAACCATGTGAGGAGCCGATTAAAGCCATTCAGTATTAAAATGTTATTAATGCATAAATAATCTTGCAGAGCACCTGTTTCAGAGCATTTCTGTGGTTTAAGGCCTCCACAGCGCCAACAGCGGACAGCAGAGGATCTGTCGCCCCCTGGTGGTGCCAAGACAGACAGGGGAGAAGAAGCTGTTTCAGAAATCCAAACAAAAACGCGTTTAGAGTCGGGCTTCTCTTACGTTCAGCTCTGACATTCATCACACACTGGGGACAAAGACCTCTCTGATCGCTGCTGTGCTGTCCTGAGACACAAACACAGAAATATCACACAGAAGACTAAATACGTGGCGTTGTTTAGACGATGAGCTCTACCGGTCTGAGTTTTCCTGCTGTGTGACTCTGCAGTTGTTTGAGTGCATCTGGAAACTCCAGGCGTGGAGGTGGACGGCTCCAGGTCTGAAAAATAAGAATAACACATCAGAAATAAACCAGTGAGTTTATTTAGATGACTGTATTTATATTTCATTATAAACAACTCCTAATGGGAGTGTGATCCCTGGTACAAAATCTACCGTATTTTCCGGAGTATAAGTCACACCAGCCATAAAATGTATGACGAAGAAGAAAAAAACATGTAAGTCGCATTTTGGGGAGAAATTTTATTATTTTTCTTACAAAATCGGAGACCAAGCGTTTCACATTGCAGGTAGGGATGCAACGATACTCCTTTTTCCAAACCGATACTTGGATCTGAGTACTCGCCGGTTACCGATACTTCTACCACACAAAAAAATGCAACGATTTGGGATACAGATTTTATTTTCTTCTCTGCTTTCAACAGGAAAAGACTGAGGTAGATAAAAGTAAAATATATGAATAAAAATCATCACAAAACTAAAATATTAGGTGAACAGAAATGACAAGTTACAGTGAAGCCATTGTCAAGCAACTGCATTGGTATCGGTTCACGTTTACAGATACCGATACTGGTATCGGTATCGGTGCATCCCTAATTGCAAGACAAGTACCGGTAACAATAACAGGATAAACACTCAGGGCGCAGCAGCACGCCACGGTCTCCAGCAGAGGATGGCGGTGTCTCAAACCCTCCCAGCGGGACAGAAGAGCTCATTCCTGGGTCGGAGCCGCCCGGCCCGCAGCAGCTCGCCACAGGCTGCAGCAGGTGATGGCGGGGCAGAGGAGCTGAGACCTGGGTCGGAGCCGCCTGGCCCGCAGCAGCTCGGTATAGCCTACATAACTTGGTATACAAGTCACAGGACCAGCCAGACTGAAAAAAGTGCGACTTACAGTCCGGAAAAGACGGTACTTGGTACCGAGGGTATTTCAGATGCTTTATGTAAAAACCCAACTTTAACAGCTGCTTTTATTTAAATCAACTCGGTAAAAAATTTTGAATCAGTCGCAAGGAAAATCTAAATGAATCTGCTGATAAAATAAAGCGATTTTAGACGAGCCGAGTTTAGAGTTCAGCTTTAATAAACTCACAGACGTCCTGCTGAGGTTTCTGTGCAGAAGCAGAAGTCATCCATCTAAATGCAGCGTTTCCTTCCACCTCGTGTGTTTCCACCCTTCCCAAACTGTTGCTGTCGCTCCTAGGAGACCCAAGACCATGAAAGGTGAGATAAAACAGAAGCTGCGGCTTTTACGGAAGCTGAAGCGACAGGCTCACACCAACCTGATGTGACGAGAGCGGCTCCTCCGAGCCGAAGGAGCAGCTGAGCTGGGAGGCGTCACGCTTCTCAGAAAGCTTTCACGTTTCTTCGGTTTGTCGACTTCGGCCTGATGTGTCACTAAAGCGTCTCTGCAGAGAGAAACAAGCGTGCAGACGCTCAGAGAGCAACCCTCTCCACATCAGAGTGTCAGTTCCAGCGATGCGACTACAGACGTAAACAGATGCATTATGGGAACAGAAGCGTTTGTTAGGCCATGCTTTCGCTCCGAAACAGAACACGACACCACTCCGTGCAGCGACACAACACACGATACCTGCTGTAGGAAACCTCAGGCAAAAGCAGCCGTTTCTAGAACAACACAAACAAAACGTGACTTCAGGAGCTGGAACCGCTAACGGGTCTTCTCTAATAACTGACCCTCGCTAGAAATAAAACATTTAGATGCTTCTAATCAGAACTCACTCAGAAGTTCTTCTCTCTCCCCAGAAGAGAACAATCACACACATCAGGGCCACAAAAAGAGTTTCTCTGAGATTAACGTCAGATTATTTTCTCCTCTTCGGTAAATCTCTGATCTCTAGAGCAGGGATGTCAAACTCATTTTAGCTCAGGGCCCACATTGAGGGAAATCTAGTCCCAAGTGGGCCGGACCGGTAATTAAAAAATAACTTCAGATTGTTTTCTTTGTTTTAATACAATCAATATAAAACAAGGCTGGAGCCTGAGGACAGTGTAGTACAAGTACAACACCTGAAGTGTACTTGAAAATTTGAAAAAAAAAATAAAAAATCCTTAGTGATTCAAAGAGCTTACAGATCACATGGCTAGATCAGTTTCATGCAGCACTTAAAGTATATTTGACTCATTTTACTTTACATCTTTTAGCTTTCACCAGCACATCAACATCAGAAGTCACATCCTGAGTGGCGGCCAACGTCAGGATGGGATTCAAGTTCTTGTGTGAGCCTTGAGCGCAGCTTTGTTTTATTTATACTCGTTACAGAGGAATCTTGCTCACAAAGATACGTTTATTTTCACTCTACATTGTAAAGTATGAAAATAAAGTTCACACAACCATCTCGCGGGCCGGAATTAACTCGCTTGCGGGCCGGATCCGGCCCGCGGGCCGCATGTTTGACACCCCTGCTCTAGACAGAACCCTAACCCTATCACTTAGAGGGTCTGCTGTTCTTTTTATTGTGAGGATTCAGAATTTATTTTATTTTATTGGTGTTTTTACTTCTAAACGATAACTTCTAACAATCTGCTCAAAGACTTGCTGGGTGAGAAAAAGAGAACTCACAGCTGGAAACAGGAAGTTACAACTCTGTTCTGTCTGTGGACACACACACTCTGCCCTGTTTGCACACTCATCGCCATGGCAGCTGCCGCTACACACACTCACTTGTGAAGGGAGCCCAGCGCTCTCAGAGAGTCGCCATGGAGACAGCAGGCAGCTGGCGGGGAGTCGGAGTGAGCGCTGTAGGGAGCAGAGTCAACGGATCCAGAGTGCTGGTCACTCTGTCCTGATTCAGACCCAGAGAGGGCTGCAGGAATAAATAAATCAAATGAATAAAATAAACAAACACACAAACATAAATACAGCTTATTAAAGCTGGTGTTGTTTAGAAAGGAGACAGGCTCACTCTGGATCCAGCTCTCACCGGTTCTGCTACCAGCTCTGCTCTGGTGTCTGTGGCTGACGCAGACGTGAGATGAGAGGGAGAACGCGCGCCTTCTCTGACCCTGCTGGGTTCTCCTCGGCTGGTTTGGATCCAGCTGGGAATCACCGGTGGATTCCTGAGCTGTGTGACTGAGTGATGAAGAGGAAGGAGATGCTGGCTGGGAACCTCTGGAGTTCACACCCTGAGGAACTGAAGCGCTGATGAGGAAAAAAAAACACAAAACAGATAAAACACAAAAGGTCAGCGACTGAAAACAAATACGTGAAGAATAAGAAACATATGGATGTGTTTTAGAGGGCTGAGGGTAAAGGTTACGGTGCAGTAAGTTAAAGACTCCTCACCTCTCTGCCACCCCCTGGTGGAGGACAATAGGAGCTACAGCAGGAGCTAGACGGCTGCTGTCAGAACCAACAAAGCCACTATCAGTCTCTGGAGAGATGACCCCGTCCTGATGGGCACAGAAAACACACGCCAGCATGCCAGCTTAATGAAGGAAGAGAGATTTACAGCAGCGAATCACAAACAGCTAAGCATTGGGCTGCATGGTGGCGCAGCGGTTTGCACCGTTGCCTCGCAGCACGAAGGCTGCCGTCAGTAGGAACTAAAGTGCGGTGCCCGTTTCACACAGCCGTCGTCACACCTGAACACTGAATTAGTAGAAAAGCAGCAGCGTTAGCTTCAGTTGTTTATTTGTAAACAGACATGCTGCTGGTCTCGTTTACTCAGGCTGTTTAAATCAGACAAACACCAGAGCGTTCCGTCTGCAGAGCCGGTGCTTATTGTATTTATCACCGCTGGGGCCTTTTTTAACATCAGAATAGTTTATTTTTATTGTTGCATTGCATGTCGTATTTCATCTGTGGAGAAATTCTGAGATAGTTTTAATTCAACACGTCAGAGGGATTTGTTTCTGTTCAAGCGTGACCGTTACAGTTAAAATGTAAACACTGTCAATCAAACTTTATTATTAAATAATACAAATAAAATTAATCCAGAGAAGGGTTTGATTTGCTCTAAATCATGAATGCAGCACAACAACCAAGACAAAGATCCGCTTTTGTCCTGAACCAGTTTCCCATCAGCCAATCAAACGGAGGCAGCAGCTGACCTGAGACAGAACCCTCCTGGTTCCTGTTGGAGCCTTGAAGCTCCTCTTTTCTGGCGCGGTGTCTGGTAGGCTGCTCAGGCTGCTGCTGGGACTTCTGCTCATCACTAATCGTCTTCTACTGCGAACAGGAAGAGCAGGAGTCCCGGAGGAGGGGCTGGACCTGGAGCATCCGTGTCGTCTGCTGCCGACCCGAGAGTCCTGGTCTGACTCAAGTCTCCTGAGACAAAACGTTTAATGGACAGGTAAAAAAAGAGCACTTCTGGTGCCTCCAAGGTCAGATCCAGCTGGATTTTTAGAGTTTTTCTGCATTTCTGTGAACAGAGGCTGATCAGGAAGCGTTGTAAGACGGTGACTAGTGCAACCTAAGTGTGATCTGAGCAGGTTTCAGCCCACAGACTGATCTCAGAGCAGATCATTGAGAAACACAATGACTTTTCTCTGAAGACTAACCTCGCCAGACCTTCACCGTTTCCAGCTCTGTGACTCTTCTGCTCCTCTTCCTCACTCCCAGTGTTTAAAGCAGAACAGGGAGGGGGCTGTCTGGGACGCTCCTCTGAGATTTGGTTACTGGGAAACATTCAGCATAAAAAAATAAATCATCTCACATTTATGAAGATGGATAAAGAAGCATCTGATTTCAAAATGAGTCCAAATCAAAGTTTTAGACCACAGAAAACTCACGGATCCACTGCTGGGGTCGAGTCCGGGTGAAGGCAGGTACGTTTACAGATCTGAGGCCTCTGGTAGGGAACCCGGAGAACATCCTCCTCCTCCTCATCACCCATCTCCACCCCTGCTGCATCACCTGGACCGGCCAGCAGAGGCTCAGGTGAACTCTGTACGGACGTGAAGTTTGAAAACAATTATTTAAGGGAAGAAAATGGCCATTGTTTATTTCTTTATTAAAACCTCCAACGTTTCTAAGACTAGAACTGATGTTCTGATGAGATCTGAGACATGAAACATGTAAACACAGAGCGGAGAGGTCTCAACCTGAGCATGAGTCAGTGTTTTCTCCTCCTCAGAAGATGGAGAACGATCACAGATCTGCTCCTTCAGCTCCTCTAGATGAAGCCCACACTGAAAGATCAGACCCTCCAGCTCCCTGGCAAACAAACACAATAAACACCCTAACTGCAACAAAACATGTTTTATCTGTAACGTCTCCTACCGCTGGGGGTCGAAGCTGCAGGTTTCTGCTCCTCCCTGCAGCAGGAGTTTGTGTTCATCTCTGATCAGAAGGTATCTCCTCTCTAAAGACGCCAGATTCTCACAAAGCTGAGCGAGACGCTGAAAAAAATCAGCTGGTGTAATAAAAGAAATCAGTTGTTAGGACGATGAAGCTCTGGTTCTTCTTACCTCCTTCTTCTGAAGAACTGAGAGATTTTCACTCTTAAGGAGATCCTCAAAACTCTGAAGCTGATAAAAAAAAAATCAAAAGCTTACTTTGCTCATTTTGCTCATAAACAACGACCAAAGTTTAAGATAAGATCAGTTTTTATTTCCTGTCACCTGCTGGAGGAGCGTCTCAGTCTGGCCGAGGAGAGCAGTGGCGGGCTGACGTCCCAGCGGGGGATTTGAAGGACAAGCGTCTAACTTTTCTAATCAACAGACATGGAGGTCAGAGGGAACCAATGTGACCGAGCAGCATGAAAACAGAGTAAAGCTCTACCCAGCTGGGCGCTGCATGCGTCTGAGCTAAGCTCCGCCCTCTGAGCCTGAGAGAAATCCAGCATCAGGAACTCTGAAGCTTTAAGGTTTAGTCCTGAACTTACGGAGAGTTTAGCCTTCGGAGGGTCAGAGTTCAGATTCACCTGAGGGAAACAGGAAATGACAGAAAATATGATTAACCTTTAACACGCCATCTTACTTTCAGGTGTCGGATCAGCTGTTTTTATTACTCTAGAAAAGTGATCAGAACAAAACAACACAGCGATACCACAGCTCACTCACTCACTACTGACTCACTCACTCACTACTGACTCACTCACTACTGACCGACTCACTCACTCACTAGTTACTGACTCACTCACTCACTCACTCACTCACTCACTCACTACTGACCCACTGACTCACTCACTACTGACTGACTGACTCACTACTAGATCACTCACTCACTCACTCACTCACTCACTCACTCACAAACTCACTCACTCACTACTGACTGACTGACTCACTACTAGATCACTCACTCGCTCACTACTGACTGACTCACTAACTACTAGATCACTCACTCACCACTGACTGACTCACTCACTACTAACTCGCTCACTCACTACTGACTGACTGACTTACTACTAGACCACTCACTACTCACTCGCTCACTACTCACTCACTCACTCACTACTAGATCACTCACTACTGACTGACTCACTCACTCCTGACTGACTGACTCACTCACTACTAACTCACTCACTCACTACTGACTGAATGACTTACTACTAGATCACTCACTACTCACTCGCTCACTACTAACTCACTCACTCACTACTAGATCACTCACTCACTACTGACTCACTCACTCACTCCTGACTGACTGACTCACACACTCACTACTGACTGACTCACTCACTCATTCACTACTGACTGACTCACTCACTACTAGATAACTCACTCACTCCTAGATCACTCACTCACTACTGACCGACTCAAGCACTCACTACTGACTGACTCACTCTCACTACTGACTGACTCACACACTCACTACTGACTGACTGACTCACTCACTCACTACTAGATCACTCACTACTGACTGACTCACACACTCACTACTGACTCACTCACTATTGACTGACTCACTCACTACTGACACTCACTCTCACTACTGACTGACTCACGCACTCACTACTGACTTACTCACTCACTGCTAGATCACTCACTCACTCACTAACTGACTGACTCACTCACTCCTGACTGACTCACTACTGACTGACTCACGCACTCACTACTGACTCACTCACTCACTCACTACTGACTCACTCACTCACTCACTCACTCACTACTCACTCACTCTCACTACTGACTGACTGACTCACTACTAGATCACTCACTCACTCACTATTCACTCACTCACTACTGACTGACTCACGCGCTCACCACTGACTGACTGACTGACTGACTCACTCACTACTGACTCACTCACTACTGACTGGCTCACTCACTACTAGATCACTCACTCACTACTGACTGACTGACGCACTACTGACTGACTCACGCACTCACTACTAGATCACTCACTCACTACTGACTGACTCACGCACTCACTACTGACTCACTCACTCACTCACTACTGACTGACTGACTCACTCACTACTGACTGACTCACTCACTACTATATCACTCACTCACTACTGACTGACTCACTCATTCACTACTGACTGACTCACGCACTCACTACTGACTCACTCACTCACTACTGACTCACTCACTACTGACTGACTCACTCACTCACTACTGACTGACTCACTCACTTACTACTGACTCACTCACTCACTACTAGATCACTCACTACTGAGTGACTCACTCACTCCTGACTAACTCACTACTGACTGACTCAAGCACTCACTACTGACTCACTCACTCACTACTCACTCACTCTCACTACTGACTGACTGACTCACTACTAGATCACTCACTATTCACTCGCTCACTACTGACTCACTCACTCACTACTCACTCACTCACTCTGTTTATGTTTATATCGCAGACACTATTATCCAAAGTGACATACAATTGTTAACCTACAGGGCATGTTGTGATCTGTAGGGGAAACTGGAGTGCCCGGAGGAAACCCACGCATGCATGGGGAGAACGTGCAGCTCCACATAGAAAGACTGCAGCCGGGTTTCGTTGAACCTGCAACCTTCTTGCTGCGAGGCAACAGTGCTAACAACTGAGCCACCATGCAGCACTATACACTCACTCACTCACTACTCAGCCACTACTCCCAGGGTATTGAGTCCTGGGCCTGCAGGGCTGGTATTCAACACGTTTTGTTTCTAAAACCTCTCCAACACACCTGATTTCAATCAGCAGGTGATTAAAAGGCTTCTGCAGAGCCTGATGAGCTGCTGCAGGTGATTCAATCACTGAATCAAGTGTGTTGGAGCACAGAAACCACTAAAACGTGCTGGCTACCGGCCCTCCAGGCCTAGAATTAAATAGACCCTGCACTGCTCACTTTTCACTCAACCACACCTAGAGGATTTTTGTAAAATAATCATTCTTAAAACAGTTACATTTGTTTTATTATCCAGTTTACCAGAAAAACACATGGTAGCTAATAAACCTTGTGTTTTCCTAGAAAAACAAAACCAACAACATGGAACAGAAACCTGGGATGGGGGAACGTTGAGTTGAATTGATTTAATTTAGTAATCTGTAGCTTGGTTGGAGAGAAGAAAAAATAGAATGAATAAAATTCCTCATCCTGTAAAACCTACACCATTATCTAGGTTGAATAGAAATGGTGATTTTGAAGGTTTCAATTACCTGGGAAATGTTTTGGTAACTTAAAGTGAGATCAGTAATAAATCTGTTGGAAGTGTTTTTAGGTCCTGCCCCACAGAAGAACATTAGAAGGTGAAGAATTATGTTTAGATCTTTAGATGAACTACCCTGGCTTCCAGACGCAGACGATCAATGGTGTTCTCTGCCTCCGCATACTTAGTCAGCAGGTTGTTGTAGTCCTCCTGCAGTAAGGGGAAAATAAGAAAACAAGATGGAGTATGGGACACAAAGTGAGTTTACCACATACCCTTTTTGTTCCTGTGGGGTAAAACCTAACGCTATAGTTCATAATTTGAAAAGTAAAGAATGATTGTTGTTTGAAAACAACAATGTTCTGTAACAGTCTAAATAAGATCAATATCACTTCACTTGTCTAACCAAAGGAAATGTGTCAAATTCCAGCTCTCTCCATTGAAGGCAGATCTAACACACCCACAACCCAGAAGGTCATAAAACCTTGCTCGCTCAGTTTCCCTGGCAACCAACATTTTGCTATCTCACCCTACAGATCAAAGTTGGGAGTCAACCTTGGGTCCATCTGGTTCTGGTCTTATCTAGCCTAATGCCACTTAAGCCTCTTTTATTAGACAGACCATCGCGCCATTACAGAGTGATAAATCCCAATTTGCGGGTCTCGTAAATGCTGAAAGAGCAAAGGGGAATGGTGATAAAACTCGATTCTGATGCGCTTAGCCTCGTAGTGATATTGCCACATGAGCCCCTCGCCTCTGACGGCTAAATGCGTCTCAGCCCCGCTAATCCCTCTGGAGCGACTGTGGGAGGCCCCCCCCCCCCCCCCCCCCCGCAAAAGAGGGTGATCGCGTTAGTGATGTGTACTGCGCGCCGAGTGCCGGCTGGAAGCGATATAAACACAGATAAACATGGCCTCTCACTAGTATCTTTCAACCACCTACAACATGGCAAACTGGACGGACGCGGAGACCATGGAGCTTTTGGCCGTGCGAGCGGACAAACAGATTAGTTGCCTTTTTACGAAGACGGTGAGAGACAGCCAGCTGTTCGACAGAGTGGTGAAAACACCGGCTGAGCGGGGCGTCAAGTGGGACAAAAAGCAGGTCACATCAAAGCTAAAGGTCCTGAAAAAGAAATTTCATCCGTCTGACGTGTCTTCCGTCGGACGCTGAATGCGCGACCCTGTACGTCACATGCGGGGGGGGGGGGGGGGGGCACCCAGCGACCTCCCTTTATCCTGTCTTGGTTGGAGAGGTGCCTGATGGCAGTTTATTCTAGCTTCAGCTTTGCTACTATAAACGCCAAAACCCTCTCCAGGGAGCCGCGGCAAATCCCGTTTTGCAAACGCTCTGGTCCTGTAAAAACAGCCTTACACTCCAGGCAGACTTGTGGGTGCACGCGGGAATATGAACACTCCCAACCTGGTACGGCGGGGCGGAGCCAATGCTAGTGTGAAAGTTCCTGCAGTGACACAGCCTCCCTCTTTGGACAACTCAAGTTTCAGCTTTTCTTATCTCCGGCCCTGGCCTTCACATGACATGTGACTCCTCATGAGCTTAGATGAAACTCAAACCAACACAAGGAGGCATAAATCCTATACAGGTGAAAATCAATATAAAAGTACACAGATCATAAATCCCTCTAAATGGATGTTAGGATTAGAATATAAGATTGACTAGATCTATGTTTTAGGATTACATGTGTGATTAAACAGATTACTTTCCCTTCAGCAGTCCCAAGCCAAGGTGGGCGGGGCCATGAATACCATTTTCCCTGTGGTGGCTTTTCTGTCTAAGCAGGTGATGGGGGTCGGAGAACATCTTCACACGCAGCATTCTCATGTTGCACGTTTTATCCGTGAACAAGACCTGTGATGTTTCCTGGAGTTTGACTTGTCCAGACTAAAACCTGACCACCTCCTCGGTCAGTAACGTTTACGTTTGCACTAAAGTCCACCCTTCTCAGGCTGCTCCTCTGGAGAGGAGATACTTTCACACAAGAGTTCATAAAAGTTTAAATGCATGGACTAAAAACTGAAATAGGATTTCCTGCCTCTGTTTTTGATGTAAAACCCACGTGTTTTCAGTGTGTGTGACCTTACTGGAGAGGATTGTGCATAATCTATAAACATAATAAATGTTAGAAATGTTTCTGGAGCTGAAGGGATTTTATAAAAGCTCTGTCAGCAGGTCGTTTCCAGAAGAAATCTACATTTTAAGCCAGAAAGTATCTTGGCACAGCAGCATGATGAAATCGATACTATCAAGCCCTTAAAACATTGGCTAAAACACACAAAGGTAGAATAACAAATGTTTATTCAACCCAAAGGACAGAAACCTGAGTCTGACTGTTTATTACCACGGCTGGTTACATCTTCCATTTCATTTTGGGGTTTTGTCAAAACACTTCTTAATATTTTAAATATTACTTTTAAAACTTTTGTTTTTGCTTCCAGAAGAGCGTCACAAGCATTAAAGGGACATTATGGAAGTGTGACAGCCAAAACATGTATAGAAATAATAAATATCTTCTTCATACATTCTCCTGCAATGCCCTGGTCCTGTAGAATGAGCCCTGGCATTTTTACTGTGATTGCCTGTTTTTCTGTAAAATCACAGAAAAAGAGAGATGCTCGGGTCGAGCAGGCTGCTTCATGCGCGTTCACGCTCAGGCATCGCCCGTAGCATTTGCTATCCGTAGCTTTAGCAGCAGAGAGAGAGGCAGTGCCACTTTGTCGCTGTTCCTAACGCCTAGTGACAAAGCTAGCTACATTTCTGAGGACCCTTAGCTACTTTCTGTAGAACTTTCTTCTAGATATTTCCTGCTAATTAGCAACAAAATAGCCATTTTCACTCCGAACTGTTCTTTGGTTTGACGTTGTTTCAGCTGTCATCAAGGATATAAATGTTACAGATACTATGAATGCTACTAGAGTGTAGCTCACCTAGTAAGATGTCTGACTCTCATGCAGAAGACCTGGGTTTGATTCTGGATGTGAACATAGTTTATTTAGAGTTTCTTTTTTACATTAATGGTATGTTTTTTACAGTAAGATGCCCAAATTTTTATTTGAGACTCGCCGAACGGCATTGAATTCACAGATAAAAAAGATGTGGGTTCAACTTTCATTTTGGAACAATTTTTCAAGCAAGGGAAGGGAATGATCTGAGCATGCAGGAGGACTGACCCATCATAAACCTTTGTCGGCTGTGCTGAAGAGAAAGCTACAGAACCACATTATTTAATTAGCTGTGCGTTCTCCTGTCCTCTGTCCCCCCCCCCCACACACACACACACGACTGTCTCAGCTGTTATTTTCATTAAGGAGTGTGCACGTACAGTATGTGTGCCTCGTGCACGAGCCTACTATTGAAGCTGCCATTACGCTTTTGGCCTGAGGGGGCGATCGCGAGCATAAAAATTCAAAAGTCCGTAAAGTCCCTTTAATCAGAGGATTTGGGAGTAGAGCTAATACCATGATACCATGACGAGTTAGAGAAGCAAACACACACAATTTGGGAAGGAAACACTTCAAATTAGTGCTCATGAGACACTTTTCCACGGTCACATAGGGCAGTAATAAGAAAACCGCAGCAGCCATGCAGAGTTACACACCACAGTTCAGTCACAAACTGTTTTATTTAAGACTACATTTGTTTGTAAATGTGTCCTTCCTCACTTGCTGCTGCCGGTCACATTTTCTGGTTCAGAGGAACTAAACTGAAGAGTGTTCCAGACGTGCAATCAAGCACTTGGAGTGCCCAGAGAAACGCTATACAAACACAATCCATTATTATTATTAATAATTCTGAGATCACTTTGAGAGGAAGTTAAATGTGGAAGTTAATTCTGAGCTTCAAAAAATTAAAGGGGTTCTAGAACAACCTTTATTTTTTTACAGTAGGAAACTGTTCTATATTAGTGATGCACCGATGTGAAATTTTTGGGCCAATACCGATATTCGATATTAAAATCCCTGTTATGGCTGATAACTGATATACTGACATCAAGGCTTCTAAAATCAGCAGATTTTGAACAGAATGAAAATTATTAAGGCTGAATTTACATTATTATGTACACACACCACACACACACACACACACACACACACATTTATGCTTCTGAGATGTTTATGTTTATTTATTTAGCAGACGCTTTTATCCAAAGCGACTTACAGTTTATAACCTATAGGGCATGTTGTGATCTGTGGGGGAAACCGGAGTACCCGGAGGAAACCCACGCGTGCACGGGGAGAACACGCAACTCCACGCAGAAAGGCTGCAGTCGAGTTTCGAACCTGCAACCTTCTTGCTGCGAGGCAACAGTGCTAACCGCTGCGCCACCATGCAGTCCATGATTTCATTCATTGTTCACATGACTAAACAATTACACATCAGAGTCGATTCCAAGAACTGAAATATGTGTTATGTTACAGGTCTGAGACGCACTTATTTGATCTTTGTTAGGAGAGTCCGTACTCCGTTTACTTTTGTGCTCCCATAAGTTGAGATGATTTATGTTTGAATCTGCTGATAAGAGGGCGCTTGAACGTAATTTTATACATACTCATTAATTTGAGATTCTCATATTTATTAAGTTGATAAATGAGTACTCAGGATTACTCATGTAACTTGTTTCTACACATACTTGAAAAGTATTTGACCGTATTACTTTCAAAGCTGCTGTTAGGTAAGTACAGATTTGTTATGTTTTACAAGGTAAGAAAAAATAAATGTTGCCTTTTGGTCAAAAGATTGCTTCTGTTTACAGTTTTAGAATCACTTTATTTTACCTTGTAAATTTGCATCTTTGGAGCATGACCAGTTTAAAGTCAAATAAAAATGTCCCGTAGCTTTAACTAACTTGTACAACAACGTAGTTCATCCTGGAGCTGACGCTCTTTGTTAATACTGATTGTGAATCGATCTAAATCGAGAATCGATTCTGAATCGAATCGGCACCCCGAGAATCGGAATCGAATCAAATTGTGAGTTGCTCCAAGATTCACATCCCTAGTATATATATATATATATATATATATATATATATATATATATATATATATATATATATATATATAAGCACGGCACCATAACGGTTACACCCCCCCCCCCCCCCCCCCCCCAACCCCACCCCTCTGCGCGCACCACAGCTGGAAAATGTTCTAGGGGAAACTCTGTACTACAGTAGCTTGGGCTAGCCAACATTTATATATGACTGACGCTGAAGTGGGCTGAGACATGCAGATTTAGGGTGGTGTGTCTAAGCTTATGATGACGAGTTAACACTCTGTCTCTGTGATCCTTACAACATTACTAATTTAATAAGAAAGCTGGTCAGAGATGACCCAAACGTTACGGGTCACACACGCCAACATATTCAACAACAAGGGTAATGTGGTTTTGAATTCTAGGACCTGAATGAAATACATTATCAATCAGGGTACCTGCAGGTTTAAGGGAGCCAAACTTAAGACTTTGTAAGGCCTTTTTTAAGGCCACTTTGAACAAATTTAAGGTATTTAAGCAGGGCAGCAGTAGCTCAACAGGTTGAGCCGGTTGTCCAGTAATCTGAAGGTTGCAGGTTCGATCTCAGCTCCTTGGGCAAGACACTTAACCCACGTTGCCTGCTGGTGGTGGTCGGAGGGACCGGTGGCGCCAGTGCTCGGCAGCCTCACCTCTGTCAGTGCGCCCCAGGGCAGCTGTGGCTACATCGTAGCTCATCCCCACCAGTGTGAGAATGTGTGTGTGTGTGTGTGTGTGTGTGTGTGTGTGTGTGAATGGATGAATGATACACTGTAGTGTAAAGCGCTCTGGAGTCCTTACTCTTGACAGGTGCTGTACAAGTGCGGGTCATTTATCATTTAAAAATTTTTAATTTAAAGAGCAAGTCACTCCAAATCACCATTTTTTTTTGCTGATAAACTACATAAATGAGTGTCCAATTGTGCTGTAGACAAATGTAGTCAATAATTCGGCCCTTTAGTGCATCTTAGTTCAAATTTAAATATTCTGCCTAAGACTGTCAGCAATGCACCATCAGGTAAAAACTCAGCACTGCATTTGAATTTAAATCTGCCATCGCTATTGGCTAAGAGGTACACTATGATGTTAGATGGTACATTATGATGTCACAATGTCGTGAGTGTGTGTATTTGTTAGTGGCTCCTCTCGGTTTGCTAGGCAACAGCATTTGTTGCATTTTTCAAACAGGAAGTGGGAGTTGAGTAAGAATCTGGCAGGGGGTGACTTGCTCTTTAAGCTATAATTTCCAGCTACTGCCTGGAACCGGTGCTAACCACGCCGCGAACGTGGGATTAGCCATCCAGTTACCATTAAACTTGCACTTCCCCATGGCGCAAGCTCCCACTAGCTTAACCAGCTAATGTGCTCATCTAAAAACAGCCCCCTTTCACAACCAACTGAACGTGTAAGGTACCGCTTACGGCAACATCGTACACAAAAAACGCTGAACTAACTAGAAATTCACGAAAATTTTCATAGAAATATAAGAATCTTGTTTATTGGGTCTTTGGTCATTTAAGACCTCTGGAAACTGTATTTAAGGATTATTTGTAATTTTTAAGGATTTTTAAGGCCTTAAATTTGGAAAAGCTAATTTAAGACTGTTTAGGGACCCGCAGATACCCTGGTCAGTTGAATAAAGGAGCGGTTCAGAAAAGCTACAAAGATGTTTAAACAATCTGAATATGCTTCTGGAGACTTCTAATTTCTTTGTTCAAGTTTGTGAACATAAAAGTGTCAGAACCACAGTGCTCGTGTCTCTGGAGCTCTGAGGAGATACCTGAAGCTGTTGGAGCAGCGTGGAGGCCTGATGTCTGCATCTGAAGTCTGGAGGCACGGTGAACTTAGCAGCATTGGTCGGCGTGCTGCTAGAACCCGATGATGAATATCCATCCAGAGTTTTTAATAAAACTTCTTTCACAATATCAGCCGGGGATTTGAAGGCCATCGGGGGCTCGGGAGGCAGGCTTGTTCCTGTTGGTGACCGCTTGCTTTTGGGGGGTTTATACCCACTTTTAGGGAAATGAACTCTTGGTTCCACCTTCGAGAAGTCTGGTGTTTGATGACTCAAAGACCTTTTGATGAAAAATGGTAAAATTACAGAAGAAAAGAGAACAACACTGAATGCAAGCGGGTGTATGTTAATAACAGTCTCACCTGAACTCATCTACCTGAGCAGCATCTTCAGTCACTCTTCTGGGAATCTTTGAACTTTTCCTCTGTTGCTTGGATTCAAAGGGGTGTGTTTTGACTCTGGTAAGGAAACGAGTCCTTGAAGTTTCTGCCTTTTCTGGTGACGGATGAGGCTTATCGTGCTTTTCTGATGGTTCTGGATCATTACTGAACACGCTGTAAAGGTTTGATGAGAACAGTTCAGTGGATGAAGCTGCTGGTTGAGGAAAAGCCCCGAGACTGGACTCTGGACTGGACTTCATACTAGTGGGGCTGCAGCGTGACTCTGGGGGACTTTCTGAGACGTCTGGTAAGGTTTCTGCTTCTATGTCCGGAGCTGCAGCTAGTTCCTCTGCAGTGAGATGAAAAAGATGAGGCAGAAAGGAGGCTGTGATGTGTGGGGCAGGCTGGAATCCTAAACCAGGATAGGCAGAGATCTCATCCGGTCCAACATCCAGGACATCAACTCTACGAGTCAAACCAGCCGCAGCTCCACGTTCACCTTCCTCTACATCAGGATGGTTTCTGGTCCTCTGCTTGTCAGTTTTCTGTCTCAACATCTCATCCTCCATCAAAGTTTTGAACCAAGCTTCCATGTTAAAGACAAGAAGTTAGAAGCAGTTAGCAGCAGCCTGTGATGGACACAACACCGATGACTATTTTATACTGATCACCAGGGATAAGTGGCATAACATCAGGTGGGACAACTTGAACGTGTTCCTGCTTTTCTCTGGATTTTAATGCATTGCTGATGTATCGGATTAGGACTCGGGTGTCTGCAGATACTCCAACTCAAATGACTCAGATTAGGACATCCTTACTTCTAACCAACACTCACGGCTTAGTGGAGCTCGCTGGTCTCTGCCTGAGGACTGAGGGTGGAGCCGACGCTCTCTCAGCTCTTCGGTCGGTGTTTCCTTCATGGATCTACTGGGTTCTTCTGGACTGGCAGGTTCAGGTGGCTTACGAGTCTCTTCCAGTTCCACTTCTTCCAGCGCCTCTGACAGCCCAATGACGCCGTTCTCATCCATCTGACTGAAAAAAACATCCTGGTGCTCCCAGGGATTCTCCGTGGGGGAGCTCTGAACTGGAGCAGGGGTCCATGTGAGAACCCCTGGTCTGGTCTTCCTTCTAGTTTCCATTCTCTTCTAAACCAAACCTTTGGATCTCAATCACCTTCTTATCCAGGAACGGTCACTTCCTGCATCTTCTTCATCTCCTCAGGCTTTGAAATAAGGCTCACTTTGAAAATATGGCGGGGGAGCGAAGTGGATTATCATCTAAATCTGAAATCACAAGAGAAGAAGGCGGTAGTCTATAGTTAATTTCACTTCCTGAGACGAGAACGATGGCATCTCCTGTGTTATGCTAGATTCTTCATTTGTGACATCACAAATGTGGAGTTTTTGAAACGGTCTATTTTAGGCATAGTTCCTAAAACTGCAGCTGGACTGAATCAGTCAGCGCTGTCTAGACTCCAAATGGTCCAAAACGCTGCAGCAAGACTCATCTTTGGGCTGCAGAAGTGGGATCACATAACACCAGCGCTGCATGCACTGACACGGCTACCTGTGAAGCAGCGCGTCAAATTTTAAATTCTGGTTCTAGTTTTCCAGTCGCTCGCAGGTACAGCTCCTCCTTACCTCTGAGTGCTTCTTAGGAGACATGTTCCACCTAGATCGCTGCTATTTGCCGACGTTGAAGCCCATAAATGGAGATTTTAGCCGCTCAGTAATGTGTTCACGACCGAAAGCGAAAGTTTTCCAACTAACGTCCAGACAGAGCTGATATAACTCCAGCGAGCAGCGACACGCTCAAACCAGCACGAGTCTGTGGTTGTGTTTCCTCCCCGACACACAACAACGCGGTCAAGCTGCTCAGACATGTTCAGCAGCACAAACCTATGTGAGCTCCTGTTGTCATCTAATGTTGTCATTATTATGATGAAGATGAACAAAACAACAGGAGTCTCCTCCTCAGCTCAGATCAACCCCATGATGCAGGTATGTGGCTGGAACAGGTGAGCATCACAGTAAACCAGTGGAGCAAACTGAGCTTTAAATATGTTGGTTTTATGCTCTTTTTCTGCTCCAAAACATGAAAGTTAACAGGTGAGATGTTGCCTTTTCATTTAAGATAAAATGATATTTTATTTAGTTGTTGGCCCGTGAGAAAAGATTTAACCTACAGTAAACAGGAAGTGGAAAGGCTGCAGATAGATGAATAGAATAGAAAATCCCTTTATTGTTCCTCAGTGGGGAAAGCTAGACGTCACAGCAGCGATGACACGTATTACAGGAGAAAAAAGGAGAATAAAAAATAAGAAAAATGAATAAATAAGAAAACATAAATCCTGAATAGATTTTAAAAATAAATGAATGAATGATAAATGACCCGCACGTGTATAGTGCCTCTCAGAGTAAGGACTCCAAAGCGCTTTACACTACAGTGTATCATTCACCCATTCACAGGCGCCACTGGTCCCTCCAGCACCAGCACTTAACCCACCAGCAGGCAAGGGGGGTTAAGTGTCTTGCCCAAGGACACAACAGCAGAGTTCTCTGTCCGGAGCCGGGATCGAACCTGCAACCTTCCGATTACTGGCCAACCTGCTCAACCTGTTGAGCTACTGCTGCCCCATATACTGATTATACCACAAGTAATCAATACCACTGATGCGTTTATTTAAAACGGACTTGCTCGTGTGTCATTTGGTTATTCCACATTCAGTGTTAATGCAGAAATATGTTTGTTTCCACATTAAAAGGTTCAAATTTGCATATATGTTGATAAGAAAATGTGTAAATTTGCCGTCACTTTAAAAAAAATATTAAGTTTGGTCCTCGACTCCGTCCCAGAGTTTCATTTCGGCCCCGTGTGAGTTTGTGTTTGACTCCTCTGGTCTAGAGGTTTACAAGTGTTGCTTGGCTTCAGAGACACGGGGATAGTTATATCCTGAGACACCAGCTCCCAGTTGCTCGGTGCACCGGTGAGCACCGTTATTATTACAATCTAGATGCAGAGAAAACACAACGGAGGAGTGGAGAAGGGTGAAAAGCTGCTGCAAAAGGAAGTTCTGGTAATGCACAAACGTGACGGAGAGTCTGTGAGAAGGAGGCGGTGTAGGAGGTCTGAGCTGTTCTACAACAGAACGGTTTGGATCACCACACCAAACATCACTTTATTTACACATCAAATCTGTTTGGGCCATTTTAACTAGGGATGCACCGATATGAATTTTTGGGCCGATACCTATATCCAATATTAATCACTGTTATGGCTGATAACCGATATTTGCCGATACCGACTTATGCTTCTAAAATCAACTAATTCTGTACAGACTGAAATGATGCCAGCTGAATGTTTTAATGTTTTGCTTTATGTCTATAAAGGGGAATTTGCAATATATTACTGTATTATATACACACACACCACACTTATTTATGCTTCTGAGATGATTACCATCACCGTCACCGTCTCATCTTCACCCCCCATACCCAATGGAACAGATAAACAAACCGAAACAAGACATATCGTACCCTAACCGATGCCGATATGTTCAAAAATAACTAAGATCGGCTGATCCCGATCTTGATGCTGATATATCGGGCATCCCTAGTTTGGACCTAAACAAGGAGCTGAATTTCAGAGATTTTCTGTCAGCCTAATGAAGAGAAATGATTATTTTTATAGAACGCTGACAGAAAATCCAGAAGATTAAAGAGGTTCAGCAGAAAGAGTCGTTCCCGTCGTCAAAACCCTGATAATTCCTCTCTCTGGAGAGGAAAACAGAAAAGTGTCGTGTTCAGAGTCTAAAAGAATCTAAACAATAAAACATGATTCAGAACGAAAACATTAATAAACTCTAATCATTTAAGAAGACGATACAACGTGCTTTAACAGAAACCTTCTGAGCCAGAAGCCTTGAAGCCTTTGGATAAATGAGTGATAGATGACCCGCACGTGTATAGCGCCTTTCAGAGTCAGAGGACTCCAAAGCGCTTTACACTACAGCGTATCATTAATCCATTCACACACACATTCACACACTGGTGGTGATGAGCTATGATGTAGCCACAGCTGCCCTGGGGCGCACTGACAGAGGCGAATCCTCATGTAAGCACACAAAAGCATATAATCTCATAAGGACTGCTCCACACATACTGATGCTAACCAATACATTAAATGTTTAAACGGCATTTTTCATTTAAAAACGAATCATTTAAATAATCTCTGAACTGTACAAAACTGGAAAAACCCGATCCAGTCATTGTGAACGTCCCGTTCTTACTGACTGGATCCTGACCCATCCATCCAACCACCAAGGCTTCTTTTCAGAGAGCAAACCTGTCAGCCAAAACATAAACAACCTGTAAACAGCACATTATGTAAACTAACCATTTGTGCTGAATTTAAGGTATTAGTTAGCCTAACAAGCCCTCCTATATATGTGTGAATATATAGTCTGGACACGAACCAGTGGTGGGGCAGGATCTACGACTGTCATTTAATCTAACCGCACATGCTATTGGATAATGAACACCATGACGTACTCCCCGCCACAGATGTCAGCCAGCGAGGCAGTCCACCATACAGAAGACTCAGATGCATCCTCTTTCTACATAAACTTAAGTACGTCTAGCTGCTCTTGACTCAAATAAAAGCCCAAATCAAAATGGTCCAAAGCTGAAGCCAAAGCCATTGCAAACAATCGCCATCTTTGTTTTTACAGTAACATCCCGCCTACTGAGTGTCGTGATTGGCTCACCAAGCCAGTAGCGAGCACTGTTGGGGCAGCAGTAGCTCAACAGGTAGAGGTCCAGCAATCGGAAGGTTGCAGGTTCGATCCCGGCTCCGGACAGAGAATGCTGCTGTGTGTCCTTGAGCAAGACGCTTCACCTACCTTGCCTGCTGGTGGTGGTCGGAGGGACCGGTGGCGCCTGTGCTCGGCAGCCTCGCCTCTGTCAGCGCGCCCCAGGGCAGCTGTGGCTACATCGTCCTGTGGTGTGAAGAGCTTTGGAGTCCTTACTCTGAGAGGTGCTGTACAAGTGCGGGTCATTTATCATTTAGAGCGCTATGATTAGACCGTTACAGTGCAGTGGCCATCTTGGATTGCAGAAACATCACGCCCACCTGGCTGATAGAGCGCTGTGATTGGACCGCTACGTATGTCAGTAAACGGGGCAGTCTGCCATTACATAGCAGAACAGCTACATAAAACATAAAACAATACATAGTTTTTCTAAATAAACGCGATGTGATTGGTCAGCCACAATCCTGGCTGGGCTTGTAAAGGTTCTAATAGAGCGTGCCTAGACCCAAATGTAAAGCAAAACAATTTTGCTTCAGCTAATGACGGCCTGGGTTCCAGTCTAGCTACTACACGATGGGATGAAGCGTGACTTTTTAGTCAAATTTGAGACCCTAACTGGTATTTTTTCCTACTTAAAATAAAAACAATGCCGAGGTAATCTACACGTGATGCTGCAGCCCTGCCACCCTTTTGTTTCTACTTCCCACCATAAATCAGAGACTCACAAACACGTTGCTACTCGTTAGAAACAGGCCTAAAGCAGCAGCAGTAGCTTTCTTCTGAGTCCCAATTTCAACCGTTTCATTCAGCTGGGAGCACAAAAAACAACAACTCACCTGTTGACTTGTTTGCGCTCCCTGCTCATTCCTGGGAGAACGAAAGCTTTATCTCAGCTGGCAGATGGGGGGTAAGCTCTTCCAAATCTCTGATGAGGGGGGCTTCGTTGACTGAAAACAGGCAACAACCATCAGTATGCATCAGCCATTAGAGAGGAGCTCAGCTGACAAACACTCAGGTAAAAACCAGGATGAAAGTAAAGACGAGTCTGACTAAAACCATCAAAACGTTGAGAGTTTCAGGCAAACATCAGCTGTGATGTTGAGCAAACAAAGAGGTGGAAGGATCTGTTCAGGGTGACCCAGTGACTAAGATGTCTCTAATAATCTCCTTAAGAGTCACCAGGAGAGCCGAGGACACAGCAGACTTCCTACAGAGAGAAGAACTATTCTCATCAATGCATTTCTACAAGTTTAGGCTGCACACAGCTTGGTGGAATAAAATAACCCTATAAAGGTTCTTATTTGCTTTTTCTGCTGGCATGCACCATGAAAGGACACTCCAACCTTTCAAAAAACAAAACAAACATTAACAGAAATAAAAGTAAAATCGCAGAGGAAATGGTTCGAATGTGAGATGCGTTCCTGACTGAGCAGCATCATCCAGAAAAGATGTTTTACATCTAAAAATCTGAGTGATTCGTGTGAATCCGGCTGCTTTATGACCGGTGCACGTCTCAGTTTTATCAGCAGAATGAGAATAAAACAAATTCAATTTATTCTATAAAGGCACACGGAAATAAAGAACATTAACTTACCTCATACTGCGTGCATCTGCTGAGAGATGAGTTCAAGGAGTGAGGTGAGACGCCTGGGTCGCACTTTCCAGCAGCAGGGTCCGTTACCTTGGAACCGCTATACTCAGACCCACCCCGGTCACCATGGCACCGACACCACAACAAACCACCCGCCGCCAAGAGTTTACTAATAACGCCTTTAAAACGGTTTAAAGGGGGAATAACCTTCACCACGTGCCGTGTGTCCACTGTTAACCACGTAAACTCGTTAGTAACTGTTAACTGTGACCTAGCTTAGTAGCAACAAGTTATTAGACCAGAACTCGTCCCTAACTTAGATTTTAAAAGCTACACATCACGTTGAGTCTAACTTCTGCCTGAAACACGCACTTACCTTGTTTTAAAAGCTGTAACTTGACATTTTCTCGCTAAATGATGACGGTATCGTTGATATTTGGGAGGCTAATTATCAGTCTTGAGGAGTGTGGAACTGATTTAACGCGCAGATTCGTTACTTCCGAGCATGGGATAAACTTGACCTGAGTTTAGTATTAAAGGCTCACCTTTATACGTTATTCATCAGCTTACGGTCGTTCATCTTTATGAAGGAGTAATTCATTGTAATTAATTAAAGTTAGCATTTTCTAACATTTCAACTGACAATGGAGGTGATTTGAGGATTTGTTGAGCGTGCTGATACCTGACAGTCTTAACTCGGGAGTTAATTAGCACACTTTCTAGACGCCTGAGGCAGATTCTGAGAGGTGATTGGTTAGTGGGCCAAGGCAGAACGTGACTTGGGGTAGTAAAAGCATGCGGTACAATAATATACCACAAGGGGGCGTCACGTCACAAGATGTTTCCCAGAAGAACTCTGAATGAAATGTGGTAATTATTAAAAAAACAAACTCATAAACAAAAATACTTTGTCTCAAGCTGGTTGAACAGTTAAATAGAAGATTGAGTTGTTTGTAAATCAACAAATAAATAATACAAAACAAGCTTTCAAAACAGTGATACTTTCTTTTTTCTTTTCTCTTCCTTTACGTGCTGTCTTATTTCCATTCCCTTTTTACCTGATCATTATTATGTGTTACTGTTGCTGCTGATGGAAAACAGAATTTTCCAGAAGGATTGTCAAAGTTCATCTGATTCTGAATTGAATCTGTTATTAATGATTAATGATTATTCCCAGCAGCCAGAACATCTTAAAATAACAATAAATTGAATTTATCATCCAGATTGAAACCTTTTATTTGTTCAGGCCATGTCCTTTCCTTTCAAACCCTCAAAAGCCAAGTGGAAAAGGCTACTCACAATATTCTTTCATTAAAGGGGCATTATGGAAGTATGACAGCCAAAACGTGTATAGAAATAATGCATGTCTTCTTCATACATTCTCCTGCAATGCCCTGGTCCTGTAGAATGAGCCCTGGGATTTTAACTGTGATAGCCTGTTTTTCTGTAAAATCACAGAAAAGGAGAGATGCTCGGGTCGAGCAGGCTGCTTAATACGAGTTCACGCTCAGGCAGGGGCGGCGTTAGGCCCGGCTACTTGGGCTGAAGCCCCGGATCTTTCATGATAAGCCCCGGATCTGAATCGCGGAAGTAACATGCAGTACCAAAGTCCAACAGAGAGAGCGCAGCTGGCAGTAGTTTGTAAAGTCCCATTTAGTCTCCGCATTTGACCCATCCCCTGGGGGAGCGGTGAGTAGCAGACATGCCACACTCGGGAACTATTTGGTGGTTAAACCCCCCAATCCAACCCCTTCATGCTGGGTCCCATTTTTCTCAAGATCTTTGGTATGACCCGACCAGTAGTCGAACCCCTGATCTCCCGATCTCAGGGCGGACACTCTACCACTAGGCCACTCAGTCGGTATACAGCCTGCCTGAGCCTCCACCAGTGAAGAAAAGCCCTTCAGCAGCAGGCTTCTTCTACATTCTCTGTCTGAAACGCATGAGTGAAGATGGACATAAGGACGTTTTTTTTAGACCAAAAGTACAACGACAGAACCCCAGCTCTGATGAGACTGGTGTTGACTCAGGTTTGTGAGTCTTATTTGCCTAAAGTTAGCTTACTATCAGGTAAAGTTGTTGGAGAAAGAAGGGACTATTTACTATCATCTCACACTAAACACTAACAGGAACAATACTCTGCCCTGAATATGCTGAATATGTAGCTTCAGATTAAACATTATGTGGTACAAGATATATATATATATATGATGTTGACTAGTGCGTGTCACGTGTGTGCGCGCATGCGCGTTTGTGTTAAGCCCCGGATCTTCTTCAGTCCTAAATCCGCCCCTGCGCTCAGGCATCGCCCTCCGACCTGTTCTTTGAATGTTGTTTCAGCTGTCATCAAGAATATAAATGTTACAGATACAGAAGACATCACTGGTGGTTTAGCTCGTCTAATAAGACTGCGGGACTTCGTGCAGAAACCCCGGGTTTGATTCTGGATTTGACATAGTTGTTTTAGAGTTTCTTTTTTACATTAATGGTATATTTTTTTACAGTAAGATGCCCAAATTTTTATTTGAGACTCGCCGAACGGCATTGAATTCACAGATAAAAAAGATGTGGGTTCAACTTTCATTTTGGAACAATTTTTCAAGCAAGGCAAGGGAATGATCTGAGCATGCAGGAGGACTGACCCATCATAAACCTTTGTCGGCTGTGCTGAAGAGAAAGGTACAGAACCAAATTATTTAATTAATTAGCTGCGTGTTCTCCTGTCCTCTGGACCACACACACACACACACACACACACACACACACACACACACACACACACACACACACACACACACACACACACACACACACACACACACACACACACACACACACACACACACACACACAGGGCTGTCTCAGCTGTTATTTTCGTTAAGGATTGTGCACGTACAGCATACGCACCTCGTGCACGAGCCTCCTATTGAAGCTGCCGTTACGCATTTGGCCTGTGGGGGCGATCACGAGCATAAAAATTCAAAACTCCGTAAAGTCCCTTTAAGAATGACACAGTTTAGCTGACTTTTCTAGCTACGTCTTTATCTTTGCCTTAGAGCTGAAAAAAGAAATATATGGGTTTCTTTTCACTGAAAGGAGTCAATGGAGAGGTTAATAGAAAGTGTTACAAGCAACAACTGAAAAGTGTCTAAAGATGCATAAGAAATAATTAGCTTGGAAACTGGGGGTCAAAGTGAAATATTAGACCAACAAACACCAGCAGATGTAATAAACATCAGACTTACTACAGGTTGGTGAAATGGCAGACTAAAGAACTTCTGGTCCCTGGATGAAGCCAAAATAAAAAAATGAACTGAAACACATTTTCATTTACTTATCTTGAAACCCATCATTTATGTCTTATCAGTTAGACATAAATGTTGTTTGTGTTCCTCTTTCATGTTGAACGTCTGCCATTTTTGTTTCTCCAGTTAAAATTCATGCTAACAGTAAAACCGTCAAGTTTAAGACATGAATTTAGTTATTTCCTTGTTTAAAGTAATAATTTTTGATGCCTTGTACGTGTAATCTTGGTAAATGTTGATGCCTCAGTTTGAAAAGGATGAGTTTATTTGAAAGAGCCACAGTGCCACCCAGTGGTTAATAAGTGAAATACATGTGGGCGTGCCCAAGAAAGGTTATAAAAACCAGAGTTCAAACCTCGTGGCGGCAGAGCAAAGAACAAAAGGACGCCTTAAGCAAATCCCTGCTTGGCTTTTCCATCTCGCCTAGCAACGCCGTTGCTATCAAAGTTTTAAGTCATTAGCTCTCAAAAGTTACGGTAGAAATTAGCAGCAAAAAGCCTAAATTATACTTCTCCGTCTGCGTCAGTGTGGAAACACGCAATGCCATTATTCGTCCTTGCGAGCCTGCTGGAGAGCCCGCGCAAGGACAGACGGAGTCGAGCTCTCTTTTCTAAACGTTGAGACAGAGAACGCAAGCTTGTGATTGGTCAGGACGCCGCTGTTGTCTACACCGCCGCCATTGCACCCTCAAAAACATAAAGAGAGCCAAGGATAACTAGCGGCTGACACGGAGCAGCTTGAAGAATACCTCGTGAAAAAAACTCTAAAAATATGAACGTTTAATTCCCCGTGACTGGAGGAGTGAAAGGGTTTTGTTTGTGGACGGAAATGACAGGAAACGTGGGTTTAGAGGTGGCGAGCGCATGAAGAGGCGGAGGAGGATGAGAGACAAATATGTCTGTGTTAAAAAGTCTTATATACAAAAAAACACACCATCTTGGACCGATACATGACAGGATACCACAGAACAGCGCTACGCCCTTTGTTGTCCTGGCGGGGGAATTGCTTTGCAACGCTCTCCAGGAGATGAAGAAGTATGAGAGCAAAACGTCTCCGTCCGTGCGTGTCTGTCCCTGTTGGAGCTGACGGAGAAGCATAATCCAGGCTTTAGACCTTCTACGTCAAACCAGACGTCGGTTTGGTCCGGTAAAGTTTTCACAATAAGAGTTAAACTAACTTGGAGCAGTTTATCGGATTGGACATCGGTTCTGATCATTAGGACCCATGCTCTGAATTCCACGTTTCGCTCAAGTGAAGGAACCTTAAAGTCAAGCCATTCCCGGGAACTTGGTTCTCCTGAATTACACAGAGACCGTCGACCAACTTGGGGCCAAATTCCTATAGTCCCAGAAGCCCATTCACACAAGGGAGGACTTCTCAGCTGACTCAGCCTTGGCTACCCCCTGGTGAGGAGGAAAAGGGTCTGTGTTTCATTTCCTTTGGCTGACTTAAGCCTGATTAGTGAAATCAGATTATAAAAGTTCATGGCGTTTCATTTTGATCCAAACACACCATAACTATTAGGACTTCTCATTTCTCTGCTGCCACTAACTCTCATTTGTGTACACACACACACACACACACACACACACACACACACACACACACACACACACACACCCTTTATAATCTTTTGTGTCATTAACTGTTTATTACAGATCAGTTATTCCACATTACTGCCATACAGCTTTGGGTTTGTCCACGCATGAAACTATAAATTATGTTTGGTTCATTTGTCATCTGTATGAACTGATGGTTGTAATAAACTCACAAAACGTAAATAACGCCTGATCATTTCTAGCGACCTCGAGAATAGTCGGCGCATTCTGGCAAAAAAATTCATCCTTTAGATTAATTTGTGGTGTTAAATTTGAGACCGATTACATTCAACAAATCTGAATATCATCTTCAAGTGTTCCAAGTTAAGTCTAACAAAAACTCGGTGGTGCTCCGATTAACTAACTTAAGATTATAAACAACTAAACAAGCTGAATCTACGCTACATTTGATTTATAGAATAACAAAATCTATATTAATCACTACAAAAGTCTGATCCTTTCAAAATGCCAACTGTAATTCGTTCTTGTTTGAGAAGTGATTTTTTTGGTAACACTTCGTTTTACAGTCCTCTAATTACTAAGTACTTACATTACATAGTAAGTTAGTGTGTTATTGTTTTTGACTTCTTAAACAGTTATTACCATGTAACTCAGGTTCAACTCTAGTTTTTATTTTTATTAATAATTTCCAGTAAATACTGCTTTACACAATAATTACACTTTATTACAATTGTACACGTTAGTTACACAATAATACACTTGAACTTACCATGTAATACCATGTAAGTACAAAGTAATTAGGGGACTGTAAAAGGAAGCGTTACCATGTTTTTAACACTTTGTGTGCAAACCCCTGGTGGAAGCTGGACAGAAAGCACGAGGGTGCATCTAAAGATCATCACAGGAGCAGAACAAACAGAATCAGCAGCCAACAAAGCAGACGCTGCTTTTGCTGAAACGGACAAACATCATGGATGAAGTCAACAGGTGGGAGCTGTGGCTTTATGAGGCTG